ATGGTTAAGGGATGAGGTGAGCTACCACCACACCACATCTCATGGTTACAGGAAATTATTTTTTCAGTCTTTTATGAATCATGCTTTCCCCCATTTCTGTAAGACCAATAATTTAAAATTGAAGGCTTCTTATTCAATTTTTGATGTGTTTGTTTTAAAAAAATTAAAGTTCAACAGTAACCATTAATCATGCCTCCTAATTGTAAAAATGCAAAGTCTTTGCAGCAAAACATGAAACCACTTTTGACAGAATGAAGGAAACCTTTAGGAATTAATTCCTAAACTCAAGCCAGACAATCAAATGTCGTCCACATACAAATTTATATTTTTCTCGAAAATATTTAGGCAAAAAAAAGAGGAGCTCTTATGATACATGTTTACTGTTCACTGAAGGAGTAGAAGACGCTCTCTCTTCTTTTTTTTTTTTTTTTGTTTTATTTTATTTTAATTTTTCTTAATTTTAGTTATCAAAACATCAATGTAGGGTAAGAGTAGAACAGGAAAGAGAAAGAACAAAATTGATTAAAAAGTATTAAAAAGCAAAAGGGAGTGTAAAGTGGAGAAAAGGGGAGTGGGAAAATGAACTCCCTATTTAAATCTTCATATTATATACAGCTAAAATGTACGTTTTTAAAAATTAAATATGAGTGTTAGGTTAGGCTTTAATCTTACTTAATTTAACACTCAGATGTAATGGGGAAAAAAAAATTATTATCCAAATGATGAAAAACTAACTACCCCTTAATAAATTTCAGGTTTTCTATAAAAACAAAATTCCATTAATTTTCGAGTTTACATAGTTTAGATATAAAGATATAGTTAGAATCCTATGAATTGATATATTAAGAATAATTTTTTAATGAAGTTGCTTTACTTTTATCATGGTTTCGGATATATTCCAGTTGGTAGTCATACATCTATCATTTCTTTTCTATGAGAATGTTTAAGTTAAAAAAATTTCATTCCTCAAATGTTGTAAAACAAAATTAATATTACAGTTGAATGAGCTTAGGAAATGGTGGACGGGTGTGTGTTTAAACCTAAATTCTGTACTTTTACATCCATCCTAAACTATGTCCGGATGAAATCAAATTTTTTTTTCAGTATAATCAATAGTCTAAACTTTTTTTTGGGGGGGGAGGGGTGTTCTCACACACATACAACCAAGATACCATAGGGATTTGAAATTGAGACTTCTAGTTTATAAATCAAAGTCATTTTTCACTGGACTAGATCCTATTAGCATCAAAGTCAAACTAAACATTAACATCGACATAAGAGAATAATAACTCACATAAGTGCCTTTTTCACAACTTTTTAACCTTTCCAAAATATTCCACTAATTAAGTTGGCATGCATAGTATATTTGAGTGAACTATCTAGTATCTTGTTGGGCATCAGATACCTTAAAGCAAAGACAGTTGGCAGCAGAGGCTCATATTGTGATCACCTTACCTAAAGATTGAACTAATTGTAGACAAAACAAATAACAAACAATCCATATTTATGACCATGAAAGGAGAGAAAATAAAAGAAAATAAAAGGATATATATATAGGGTAAATTACTAAAATAGTCCTCAAACTTATACTTGATTTACATTTTGGTCTCTCAACTAAATTATTCATTTAAATGGTCCATCAACTCTATATTATTCGCTCCAGTGGTCTTATTGTTTAATTTTTTTGTTAGATTTAACCTAATTTTAGGATAAATAATGACCAATTTGCCCTCATATTTAATGGAAATATTGACATAATATAACGGTAGGACCAATAGAACGAATAATATAGAGTTGATAGACCATTTGAACGAATAATTTAATTGAATGACCAAAATGTAAATCGAATATATATATATATATATATATATATATATATGAATATAACATAAGGTGAAGTGAAGGAAGAAAACAAAAGAAAACCAGAGGCTATGAAAAGAGATGGTAGCGTATGAACATGGGAGTTGGGAAAGTTACATCAAAATGATAAAGAGATGATGAAGTGGGCATCGATGAGAAAGTGAGCATATAAGCCATTATATGAATATGGGGCTCAAAACCGAAAGGGCAAAATACCGTAGGATATTTCAGGGAATATCCTACGTGTTTAGGACTCTACCACGTTTCTGGCCATTCAATTATTTTCCTCCTTTTTATCTTCCTCTCTCACCCTCCAAGCCTCCCATCCCATGACATCTACGCCACTTGCACTTATTGACATTACACCCACTTGATAACAAATAATTAGGCTTCGATGCGATTGGTGTACAGCACTGATTCTTTCTTCTTAAGAAACTTGTCGGCTTCTTTGCAAGAAACTTGTAGCTTAAATTATTAAGATTATTTATCTTTATACATGATGTTCTGTGTCCGACTCCCATGCAATGATAGAATGCACATCTAGGCCGTTCATTCTAAATATTTTTCAATTCTTGTATAAATCATCGTCCATCCATATATACAACTTATTTATTTATAGTGACTATGGTATAAAGCATCAGACTTTTCTCAAGAACAATCACAGGATTATTGTTGTTTCCCAGCACTGAAAAGTTCCAATATTCATGACCTTATATCACAGGGAATTAAAGTTTACCGTTAAAGAAACAAGAATACAGTGACTAATTTTTTTAATAAAAAAACAATTGAAAGAAAATAATGACTAATTTAATCACAAGAATATCACTAATGCCAAAAAGTTGTTATTTGGGCGAAGGACGTAGCCCTTTATAAAGGCCTAATTTAACGTGTCCCCTCTACAAACACGTATACACGTCCCAATTCCCCAAGTACATATTATGTGGATGGGACATGTCGCACAATCTCAGCTTTGAGGAAGATTTACAACAAAGTTCATTTAATTAGGTTTTAATTTCTTAAAAAGAAGTTAATAATAGTGTTGTGCCGGTTTGCCGATATGTTTAACTCAATAGAATATTGTATTGACTTGTAGATCAGTGATATTAGGTTTGAACTTCAATGGCACATTGTCATTGTAAATAAGGAAGAAATCAAGGAGGGATAATAAAAAATACATGAAGTCCGCATATACAAACATAAATTCTCTTATGCGAACGTCCTGACGTTTTTACTCTACGGAAGTAGCATTCACACAATAATAACGTCTGAACGTTCACATAGGAGAAGAACTGAGGGAGACGGATTGGACAGTTTTAGTCCAACCCCATGTTTGACAATACGGCATATTAATTTAGTTAAAATAAGATAATATTGTATTTACTACCTTCTAGCATCCATAGTTTGTGTTAGTTATTATTCTGTTGTTGCTGTCGACAACAATGGATGTTGTGTTGTATATGCATGCTTTCTTTTGTTGTTTGGCTACGAGTACAACTACATCAACTTGATTGAAGAAGCCATTAGCACCAGAATTACTGCTACACGTGGAACTTGAAAATAACAACAGTTGACATGTTTGTATATAACGATGTAGATTGTTTTTGGTGTGCCGGCTTCATCTCTATGGTAGATTGTTTACTAACATCGGTCTGCAAGTGCAAGATATGATCCAAATAATATAACAAGCTATTTAATTTAATTTCTTGTTTTCTTGTTCAGGGTTGCAGGGTCGGGGCTAATGGAAGAGGAGAAGACTTTCTTCACTTGTATGCATAACATTCCTTACAAACTCTCATACATAGAAAATATAGAATAGAAGCCAACATAACATCTTCATATGATTAAGCTCAGACAGAACATATCAGATTTAATCACACTGCTAGCTACCACATCTGAAACATTCATTCATTTCACTTTCAGTGTCGTACGTAAACTGTCAGAGGCTCAAGAACTATAAATTGTGATTGTAATTTCATTTTATTTTTACAGGTAGTGGAATAGCATGGATCACAGGAGGAACCAAAGCTGGAACCTGTACAGGAATTTTCCTCTTCAGGTCATGTAAAGTCAGTGATATATAAGAAGAACTTCTGCCGGCAACCCAAACAGTTTCTCAAATGTTGAATGAATCCTTATGAGGTAGGTAACCATTGATTCAATTTTCAAGTACCAACAAAGCAGTTCAATCAACATCTCAGCAGAAACTAGACTCAGTTGAAGTTTTTAAACGTTCAGTGGGCACCACTAAGACTGTGCGACTAAACGGCATCATAGTGAAAGAAAGAAGAGATTGTGATACAGTTTCCTCACCTTGTTTCTATCATCATCAACTAGTCCATCATTGTTTCAACTCCCTTTTTTTTTGTCAAAAGAAAAATTCTCGACTGCAACTTTGGCCGACAAGGAAGGAGCAAGCTTGCTCTCTCAGGGGACACCCTCCTCTTGGAGTTCAGAAAATTGATCTCGGGCGGCATAGTGGCATAGCTTGGTGAAAGGGGCCATCCAGATCAAAAAGTTCCACATCCAGCAATGGAGGTTCTTCCATAGCATCAAACGCAGGTATCTCTGCCCCATTTTTCCAAGAGCTGTAAGCGAAGTGATTGGTAAACAGAAATTGATAAAACAAGAAAAAGTCCTCTCCATTTCATTCAGGTTCACTAGTTTGAGGCTTGACAGAGTTTGTTGTTGTTTCAACATTGCTGGTGAATCCCACATAGGGTTATTAGATGCAATAAAATTAGCAACCTAGGAAGTCAAGAAACTTAAAATATGACTTGGTTATTAGATGACATCATAAGTATCTTGCATAACAAGCATTCAACATTGTTGTATTTCATACAATGGCAAGGGAAAATGCATTACAACTGGTGGCAACATTTGATGCTTCAAATTTAATGAATGCGCTCGCTATAGAAAGTTCAACTAAAACTACATAATTATAAAGGACACAAGCTTTTCTACAGATTACCATAAAGCAAACTATCTCACAACTATTGGACTGAAAGAACAAAACTTTATAAGGCTTCCACCTCTTCCAAGCTAGAATGGATACAGTAAATAGAAGTAAAAAGAAAGTGAACAAAAGAAACAGAAAGGAATAGCAAGAAAAATTTTGTGCAGCAAAGAGCCGTTGCACGAAATCATAGCTGCTGGTCAAGAATAGGGTCTCTAGCAGTTCTTGGAGATCCAATATATTCAGACACCCCAGAAACATAATCCTTCAACCAGGAAGTGCTGCGTGTCAACCATCCTGTTTCTTCTCGTTCTTGTACTTGAAGCATGCTCTTCCTTTCTTCTTCCACCAGTATCTCTAACCATCTCTTGGCCATAAAAACCTTGACAGCTTCCACACCTTGTTGAACTACATCCGGGGGTGGAAGCACAAGAGGGTTCCCGTCCACATTAAGTTTGGTCAAATTGTCCAGGCGGCCAAAAGTATCTGGAAGAGCATGAATCTGATTGTTGCTGAGGTCAAGTTCCTTGAGGTTGGTTAAATCACCGAAGGTGTCGGGCAGCTCTGTGAGATCGGTAAAATTACTGCAGAGATTGAGGATTTGAAGATTGGTCAACCGGCCAAAGGCTAGAGGAAGGCCGCGGAGCTCATTGAAGTGAGCATCCAAGTAGCGCAAGGACCTCAACTCACAGACAGAGGTGGGAAGGGAGCGTATTTTGTTTAATTGGATAGAAAGCTTCTGTAGATTGACCAACTCAAAACCAATGTTGGTTGGCAAGTATGTGAGGCCGTTGAAGCTCACATCCAACTCCACCAATGACCTAACCACATTTTGCAAAACCAAACTACTAATCATTCCATTTCTCGCTCACTCATACACACACACACAACTCAGTCTTACTTATTTTTATATTCTAATAATTAAAGAAAAACAAGATACAAGCTTTACAATTTTTTTGAATTTACCTGCATTGACAGATAGAGTCAGGAAGGGCACTTAGCTTGTTCCCATAGGCACTCAGAACCTTCAAATTCTGCAACATCCCGATTGAGTCTGGCAGTGCCTCCAGAAGATTCGAAGACAAATTTAGCTCTTCAAGCTTCTCTAATCCAGCTATTGAATCAGGAATTACCTGTTCAAAATTGATTTTTTTTCCTTAATTCAATATTAACAAGTTAATTAAATCAAATCAAACCAAATGAAATGAAATCTAACCTGGAGTTCATTATTGGAAAGATCGAGCATAAGCAAACCGCGAATCCGGCCAAAGGCCTCGGGCAAGAACCGCAACCGCCGACCGGAGAGGTTGACCCTGTCCAGCTCGGTTCCGGAGGCCTCCTGTAGAATCCCAACCACCTCCTCATGGACTTGGTCGCTGGTGAAACCCTCCTCCTCCACCTTGTCATCTTCGACGACGACGCCAGCCTCGGCCGACTCGTAAATCTTGACGAGCCTCTGCTCGGCGTCCTTGAGAAGCTTTTCGTAGGCGGAGTGCAACTCATCCAGCTGCACAATCGCCTTGTAACCTTGTTTCTCCTTCTCCGCCGACTCGCGGTACTCCTGCTCTCTGTCCGCAAGGTTTGCCCGCCACTGGAGTCGGTCGACGTCAGCAGGGCGGGGCGAGAGAACGAGCTCCTCTAGCTTCTTTGCCAAATCGGAATCGACGGCGGCGAGCCTGGCCTTGGAAACGTCGACGGCCTCGTGGTCGGGGCGGTCGCCGAGGGTTTTGAGAACGGAGCGGGTCTGGGAGACGTCGGAGATGGCCCGGCTCATGGCGGCGAGGACCTTGGGGTCGGACAAGTGAGGCATGTGGTCAACGATCGTGGTTTGAGAGGAGGAGGAGGATGGATCGGTGGAGGATTTGGATGGTGGTTGTGGGTGGGCGTCGATGTGGATGGAATGGAGGTCAGAGGCGATGGGGGTTGTGGGTGCGATGTGCTTAGTCCCCAAGGAGGGGAGGCGGTTCATGACGTAGGAGAGGATGGGGAAGTTGGACGGGTTGGGATCCATTTGGGTCGCGTCGGAGGAGGAGAAAGTTGAGTGGATTGATTGATTGAGTTCGAGAAACAGAGAGAGAGAGAGATAGAGTGGTGGTGAGGAGGAGGAGAGAGTTGAGAGTTGTGAAGAATGAAAATGGGATGATTAATTAACGTCGTTTCGTTTGTGAAGAAGGTGTGCCCGTTTTTGGATACGGTTTTTTGAGGGCGTAGATAACGGAATGAATGACGGACTTGACGAGGTCAGGTTTGAATTTGACAATCCCATCGTGGGGTGGGGAGGAGAGAGAGACTGTACTAGAGTATGAATATAAAATTAGATTACACGTGTCCAAAATGAAAATCTCATCGTGGGGTGGGGTGGGGCTCACAATTTATATCTAGTATGCTGTGTATATATTGAATAGTGTGATCATACTGGACCTGCTGCATGTATCCAGGCAAATCAAATAGTGGCCCACCCTGATGTTAAGAACGGAAATGCTATAATGAGGGCTTAAAGTGAGGAGGTTATTTGAGAATGTCAAATCTCACCATCAACAAATGTAAAGAAATTATAGGACTTAAATATTTTAAATGTTTTGATGGTCGGATCGGTCTCCTCAAATAACCTCCTCACTTTAACTCCTCATTGTAGAAGCTCCCTGTTAAGAAATCACCACAAATACCATCTAGAGTCTAGACAGCCCAACGTGAGCATCCTTATTAAAAATTCATACAGCCTCAACCACTACTTTAGACCTATCCGAACGAAGCTTTTGTAAGGATAGACCTATCCCGATGAGTTTCTCTTACATGATTTGACATTCTTATTATTTTATTTGAAGACGGACTATGCTTCCCCATAAGGAGGAATTTCTCCTCGTATATTAATGTGGGTCAATCACAATCTGACATGTGTTTTTCTTTTTATAATTAATTAAAATAAAAAATAAATACACTTTTGAGAATAATAATAAAAAAGAATAAGTGTGAATTTGTGGTAGAGCCACATTATTAATGGTAGGTAAGGAGGAGAATGAGGGAAGCATTATTATTTTGAAGCTATCTGAAGCTTGGCACAGTAAATGGCATAGAGGAAAAAGATAATGTGACATGTATGTAAAAATGATTCATCAAAAACATAAAAAAGAAAATCCCATGCGTTGTAAACATAAAAAAGAAAATCCCATGCGTTGTAATCTTCAAATTTTGAAGCCAAGCATGGCCATGAGACTGAGAATCGTTGCACAAGCAACGGCAAGGAGGCCTCTCTCTTTCATGATCACCCTGAACAAGTAGATTGCGACATCAGCGGTGATGAGCTTCCCGCGTCGAACCAAAACCCGACGATGATTCCCGGCAAATGTTAGCAGCACAAGCACTGTGATCCACGCCATCATGGTCGCCCGTGCCGCGATCACAACCAATGCTAGTACCATCAACGCTCCCACAACTGGGAGTAAGAGGACTGTGATGTGGTCGTTGTAGAACAGGAGGACCCACAGAGATGCCAAGAAAGACAGCAAGAACGTGGTGGTTGCAGCTGCTTGTGTTGTGGACAAAATCATGGCTGAGGCTGAGGCTGGGGGATGGGTGAAAACGAAGGAAGGATCGATCACCAGGAATGAGAGAAGGATTTGGGGTTAGTTTTAGTTGTGTTAATTATTTTGGTTGAATTGGAAATAATGAAGGCTGTGCGCGCACATGGGTGGGTTGGCAATGACATGGTAGATGAACCCACCAACCAACCAAGCTCAATATATATATGATGGTGGTCCTTAATTGCCAGCGGGGAATTAATATATATATGATATAACGTGCATGAATTCCCTGTATATATATATATATACACAATTCATTCATTGCTTTGCTTCAGTAAGAGCTGGAGATAGACGCATACAGAAGAAATGGACCAAAACCAAAAGCAGCTAGCCTCCCCACATCTTTCATGGGGACTCCGCCTCTTCCTGTCCTCCTTTTCCTTCGCCGTAGACGCCTCTCGCCGCTCAAACGGCACTCTCAACCGTCGTTTCATCAACCTCCTGGACTTCAAATCCCCTCCTCTAACCAAACCTCACAAAAACCTCAAAAGCTCGGACGTCATCGTCGACTCTTCCCGCAACCTCTGGTTCCGCCTCTACACTCCCACCGCCTCCGCATCCGCCACCACCCTTCCCGTCATCGTCTTCTTCCACGGCGGAGGGTTTGCGTTCATGGCCGCCAACTCAAAACCTTACGACGACTTCTGCCAGAAACTCGCTCGCGAACTCCCAGCCGTCGTGGTCTCCGTCAACTACCGCCTCACTCCTGAGCATCGGTATCCGTGCCAATACGACGACGCATTCGACGTCTTGAAATTCATGGAGAACGCCGGCCACTGCTTTGAGGGCGCGAATCTCAAACAATGCTTCCTCGCGGGAGACAGCGCGGGTGGAAACATAGCGCACCACGTTGCACTCAGATGTAGCGGACACGTGTTCCAGAATCTGAAGGTTGTTGGGATCTTGTCGATCCAGCCGTTTTTCGGAGGAGAGGAACGGACGGAACCCGAAAGGAGGCTGGTGGGAGTGCCGGTAGTGAATTTGGAGCGGACAGACTGGATGTGGAGGGCGTTTTTGCCGGAAGGGTCGGATCGGGATCACCCGGCGGTGAACGTGTTCGGACCCAAATCGGAGGATATATCGGGGTCGGATTATCCGTCGACGATTGTGTTCGTGGGAGGATTTGATCCGCTGCAAGAGTGGCAGAAGAGATACTACGAGGGGTTGAAGAAAAGCGGGAAAGAAGCTGAGCTGGTGTATTATCCGAACGCCATTCATACTTTCTATGGTCATCCGGAGTTAGAAGAGTGTGCTGCTTTTTTTAACAAAGTCAAAGACTTCGTGCAATTGCAAATTGTAAGCAGACGGAACATAAAATAGGATATCATTCAGGAGGATGATATCATATATGAATGGTAGGGGCCATCCATGGTAGTTTTGTTTGAGTCGCTAGTTAATGATTTTCTTGCAATTTTAGTCAAAAATAATTTAAGGAAAGAATTCCGATTACCATTCCAGGTAGCTCTCTCGTTGAAAACCTTTCATCTCAGAGGTGGTTTGTAAAAGCCTTTCACTGAATTACGTCACGCGATGAAAAAGATAGACACAAAGCTATAGTTAAGGGAAGTCTCATAGACGAAGTTTTTCTCCACAAGTAATGGCACAACACCTGATAGGCATGCTCGATGTCCACACACGAGAGATATATGAGATTTGCAAATATTATAGCTTTCTTAGCGCAGAACATTATATAGCACAGGTCTGTTGAAACGCTATAATTATTAAGCTAAAAATACAAATATTGCATAATTTCCCCCAAAAGAAAAAAAAAAACTCAGATATTGCATTGAAAATTCAGCTCCTCACTTTCCAAATCCAAGTTCAATAAATAAATTAACCCTAATAAATCACAAAAATGCAGTGGCCGGCCCGGTTTCAAACTTACCTAAATTTTATGAAAAATAAAAAAAATTAGATCAACTGTATTATTTGTTGGAAGTTAAATATCAACAGTAACGGGATCTATCAATAGACATATTGACAAAATATCAATCTCAAGAAAACCATAGACGGAAATTTTGAATCAAATGTATTAACACTACCGGAAAAATAGTATCGAGGATATCACAGGTCTTTAATACTGTTCGGACACAAGTCATTACATGATTGTTGATATAAATGCTGAAAAAGCGAAAGTTTCAAAGGAAACATCAGGACCATAACATAAGTTTTTTCCTTTTATGTCAATCTAACAACAGGACTAACATTGTTCAACATGAACGTAGTAGTGCTGGGAAGTTTTTTTTTTCCCACCTAAAGTAATAGTAGTTGTCTCTGTATTAGCTACTCCTAAGAGCCTCTCCAGCGGTAAGCCCAGCCCGAGGCTATTGGGGGGGGGGAAAAAAAAAGGTGTTCCAGCGGACAGCCCAGGCCCGGGGGAGGTGTGGGACCCACCAACCCGGACTGGCCCCGAAGGCAACTTCTGCCTGAGGTCCAAAACGAGGGGGGTGACTATAGCGCTACAGTATCTGCTACAGTCCGCTACAGTCCCTCGCTGATTTGATTTTTTTTCCTGTTGCCACGTGGTGTCGTCTGGGCTCTCCGATCTGATTTTTTCCTCCAATCCAACGGCAACCATTTTTTTTGCAATAAAATACTGGAAAAAATTCGGAAAATTTTTTAAAAAATACCCAAAAATTAATGAATTTTTTTCTATAAATACCAGCCTTTTTTTTTTAAATTTATCTGAAATTTGAAATTGAAAATTTTATCCGATTATGAGATATGAATAGTATTGACACGTAGGAACCCGAAAATCTTATCCGAAAATATTATTCAAATTAATTATTGAGGTAAAAAAAGTTGTGAATAAAACAAAAAAATGAATAGTAACTGCCCTTAGCAAGGGCAACGGATGGAAACACAAAATTCTGATTTGCAAGGGCAACCACTATTCAAGTGAATAGTGGCTGCCCTAGCTCTCCTCCTTGCCATGGCTAAGGGCAAATGGGTGGAGTTGCTCTAAGAATAATATAAATGAGAGACAAAGCACCTATCAGTTTATTGAAAAACTAAAATAATAGATAGCTGGCCAGCACCAATATGTCTGGTTTTATCAAGAACCTCAATGAATCTCTTTGGGATCCTATATTGTTCAATCATATGCCTTGCCAGATCATCAATCACACCACCTTGAACCACAACCTCATGCCCTTTCTTACCTGAAAAGAGAAATATAAATCTATGTTCATAAGAAAACCTAGGAAGGGATCCTCAAGAAGCCACAATAAGTACTATTCCCAGACAACCAAACTTGCAAGATGCATTTCGTACCATCGGAGAAATTGTATCATCATACGATAAACAAGAAGAAACAACATTTACATGACTAATAGGAGCACTAATATTCAAACCCCCCAAAAAGAAACCACACACTTGGGGAACACAGGACCATCATGTTTTCAAATATAGAAAAACAAAAAATAATCACCTCTGCTTATCATCAACAAAAGACAAATAGAAAGGCAGAAATGTAATATTATCTACTGAAAACTTTCCACACAGACATTAATTTTTCTAATAAATGGCTGCATAAACCTTCCGAGTCATGAAGAGAAAAAGTTACGACCCAACAGACATTCATTCAGGGACAATGGAGCACTGCACCTGGTAGTTCAGCCACTGTTGTGCTGCAAGTAAACTTCTTCTGTAGCTCTGATGCCAAAGATTCAGGGTCCACCAAATGTACAGTGTGGACTCCAGCCCAATGATGCCTATTGAGAAAATGAAATTAGGCTTAATTGTATAAACTCAATCCAGGCATATCAAATAGTGGCCCACTGATAGGATTTTTAGAACCTGAGCAATAAGGTAAAAATCACTGAAAATACTTGCAAGAATACAAGATAATTGTAGTATAAGTGTTCATGCAAGGTCGTTGTCCCCAAAGATTGTTTGACTAATTTGTAATTAAACTAACTCTTAATTAATAACTAAAATAGATTTTATCAAAGATTTGAAGTTTATGAATTTGAAAAGATTAAATTAATAGTAAAAGAAATCTGAATGTTGGGAAATAATAACAGCAAAGAAGAAAAACATTTTCTTTTTAAAGACTAACAATTTAGAGAAAACTAGGGTTCAGCTATCATCGTTGCAATCCTATGCAATTCTATCAATTACTTATGAATTTCCACATGTATGCTTTGAAGGTTAGGTTTTCCTAATGCATATTTTCCTTGTGATGTTCAAGCGAAAACATATATCTAACATGCAATCCGTCTGTGATGTTCAGATGAAATATATCTAATATGCAATCCGTCTGTGATGTTCGCCTTAAGTGAACTTACAACTACTAATCACAAGAAGCCTTCCTCAATTTCAGGTTGATGTTCCAATAGAAATTGCATCAAATTACTTGTCTAAATATCCTAATGGTGATCAGTCATTAAAATAGATAGATAGTTTTAAACACAATGATTAATAATTCAAAGCAAACATGCATCCATTCATAAGCAAATTAATAAAATTACATATTCATGCTAAGGCTTATGGCCTCGCCCTAGCAAAAGGAATTAGTTACACATATTCATAATTAAAATAAAAGAAAATATCTTTCGAATGAAAATGAATAAAAACACCTTGAAGTAGAAGCTCTTCAAGAACCCTAGCCAAAGTCTCTGTCTTCTCCAGAATTGCATAAAAAAAGGTTCCAAAATTCCTGTGAGAAAGAGCTTAAATACCCCTTAAAACCTAGCTGCCAATGTACAGCTTTTCTATCCCCACAAGGAAACTAATTAAAATAAAATAATACTAGGAAAAATAAAGTCCAAATCAGATTAGGAGAATCTGCCCAGCCATGTTTTGGTCTCAAATCTCCTCCAAATCTGGCTCAAGATAGCTTGTTTTAAAGATAAAAATATTATGAACATTCTCCAGAAGGTCACGAACCCATCCAAGGTCATCTTGGGCTCCAAAAACACAATAAAAGCCCAAAATGTCACTATTCCAGCACCAAGCACTGCTCCTTTATTTTATTTCCAGAAATTAACCGTTTGGTAGAAAAATTTGAAATTTTGATACGATCAAGCTAAGTGACTCATGTACGTCCTCCAACTGGAATTACTCCAAAATTCGTCCATTTGATTACGTTTTGCTCTAGAGAGAGTCGAAAGTCCTATATTGGAAATATAATTCAAAGTATCAAAGTTTTTTCAAAATATTAACAAAAATGTACTAAGAATGGGGTTAAATATATAATATAGAATCGACTCATCATCCACCCCTATGTAAAGAAATCACCACAGATACCATCTAGACATCCCAACGTGAGCATCCTTATTAAAAATTCATACAGCCTCAACCGTTACTTTAGACCTATTCGAACGAAGCTTTTGTCAGGATTGACCTATCCCCACGAATTCTTTGTCTTGATAGACCTATTTCGACGATTTTCTCTTACATGATTTGACATTCTTATTATTTTATTTTGAGGTGGATAATGCTTTCCTTCTTACTCATTAGGAGAAGTTCCTTCTTACTCATAAGGAGGAGTTCCTCCTTACCTACATGTGTCTCTCTTGTTAAGATTAATTAAAGTGAAAAATAATGTGGTTGAGTAACATTAGTAGGCAAGGAGGGAATGAGGGAAGCATTATCCTTTTGAGGCTATCTTGAAACTTACCACAGTAAACGGCATAGAGAAAAAAGAAAATTTTACACGTATATAAAAATAATACAAATTTATAAATAAACTCAATCCTAGACATGTATTTATAAAAAAAACCCAAGCACTATTTAAACATAGAAACACACCCAAAATCAACCCCAAAATCAACAATTGTATATTTTTTGGGTGTGTTTATAAATGGGTTTTGAGTGTGTGTAATGATGGGTTTTGGGTGTGTTTATAAAGTGTTTTGGGTGTTGGATTTTTTTATAATTTCAGCCCCCATTTTGGGTGTTTTAGTGAAACTCCCTAAAAATAATTCATAAAAAAGAAAAATTCATACGTTGTAGTCTTCAGATTGTGAAGCCAAGGAAGGCCATGAGACTGAGAATCGTCGCACAAGCAATGGCAAGGAGGCCTCTCTCTTTCATGACCACCCGGAACAAGTAGATTGCTACATCAGCGGTGATGAGCTTTCCGCGTCGAACCAAAACTCGACGACGATTCCTGGCAAATGTTAGCAGCACAAGCATTGTGATCCACGCCATCATGGTCTCTCGTGCCGAGATCATAACCAATGCTAGTACCATCAACGCTCCCAGAATTGGGAGTAAGAGGGCTGTGATGTGATCGTTGTAGATGTAGGATAGGATGAGCCACAAAGATGCCAAAAAAGACAGCAAGAATGTCGTGGTTGCAACTACTTGTGTTGATGACAAAATCATGGCTGAGGCTAAGGCTGAGGCGATGAGGGAAAACGAAGGAAGGATAGATCACCATGATTGAGAGAAGGATTTGGGGTTGGTTTTTAGTTGTGTTAATTAGTTTGGTTGAATTGAAAATAATGAAGAGTGTGCACACACATGGGTTGGTTGGCAATGGCACGGCGAGGGAACCACCAACCGACCAAGCTCAATAAATTAATTTCATATAAGTCCAATTCTTATGATAGAATTTGGGTATAATCCACACACTTGTTGTTAGTAATTCAAGTCCTCTGACTTTCGTGCCACGTAGGATTACTTAACTTTTTTTAATTTATGAGTTTTATTTTTAATTTTCTTAATTTTTTAATTTATGTTGTGCTTCCAATTTTTCCCCTAAGATATAAATTAGGTAACCTTCATGTTAAACAATCCTCAGACGGCAAGAAAAGAAAAAATCATATCTTTCACGATCAATTATATGTACCTATAACACCTATCATATAGGTAACCTCATGTCGTATAGGTAATCGCCAACACTATGCCTATATCACAGGTATATGCCAAACGGTTAACTGTGCCATAGGTACACACTCCAAAGGTTACATGTCGATTCTACGTGAAGTGCCACATCAAGTCACAAAGTGATAGTTCTTACCACTGACAGATTGTGGTAGAAAAACTATGGCATAGGTACAATTTCAGAAATTACCTATACAACAGAATCTAGTTGAGGAAAACCCAATTATGATATTTGTCTATTAGAGATTCATAACTCAGCAAATGAAGTTGGATATAGTGGAGCAATAAACTCTTGCTGCATTCAAATCCCAATTTATCTGCTATCGGTTGTAGCTATGAGACGTGGCCCTAACGTTGCTTGCACTTTGGCCACTGGCACCACCCAAAATCACAACAACACAAATCAGTAATAGCACTACCATTAACATTAACTTCCTCATTTTCATCAGCTCTCTCGGTTTCTCTCTCGAATATATTTCGTGGGATATGATGTTCATGTTTTGCAAAGTACCTATAGTATAGGTATAGTTTCAGAGATTACCTACACAACGGGTTCTAGTTGAGGAAAGCCCAGTTATGGTATTTTTCTATTAGAGATTCATAAACTAGCATTTAAAGTTGGATATGCCAGAACAAATTTGCAGTAAAACCATTCACCAATAATTGAGGAAAGCAACAACAAATAGACTCTCGAAAAGCATCAGGACCAAACCGTAACAGAAAAGTATGAACGTACGCTTACCTGGGATACATGAACTTCAACTGACGCCACAACTGATGATAATCCAAAAAATTCGAGTTATTCCATATGTAATTGTCACATTCCGGGATCGACTCAGCCATAACACGATATTGTCTGCTTTGGGCCCCCTATGTGCCATCACAGTTTTGTTTCTGGAAACTCACAAGCAACTTCCCAATGGGTCACCCATCCTGGGATTGCTTTAGCCCCAACTCGCTTAACTTCGGAGTTCCCATGACCTCCAAAGCCAATGAGCTCCTAAAAGGCCTCGTGCTAGATGGAGACGGATATGTACATATAAGGCACATCACCCCTTCTTCGTTGGTCAATGTGGGATGTTACAATAATAGCAAATCATAAGTAGGAACCCAAAAATCTTCCCAGTAAGGAACCAAAAATCTTATGCGATTTAGGGGCTGTTAGATATGCGATTTGGATCAACCTCCTTTACTTTCCGTTTGTATATAATGGCAGGAGTTGTACATGCTAAAATATGAATATGGTTTGAATACTTTAGATTAAGTTTTATTCTTCTCCGTAAGGAAGTATATATAGGAGTTTACATGAGTTGTTTACAAGGAAATAAATACAGTAATCAATTAAGATAGTATCTCCTAATTATACAATGATTTGTCAACTATATAAAATACGAAAGTAAATCCCTTAATTAATCAAGGAAATAAATCTCTTTGATTAATTAGGAGACTCACGTCAACACTCATCCTCAAGTTGGTGCATATATGTCACCAATGCCTAACTTGGTAAGTGATTCGTGAAATACTCTTCCACAGACAGCTTTTGTTAAGACATCTGCCAGTTGATCTTTTGATTTTACAAATGGTAGGCGGATGATCTTATTCTCAATTTTTTCTTTGATGAAATGTCTATCCACTTCAACATGTTTGGTTCGATCATGTTGAACTGGATTATAGGCAATATCGATAGCTAACTTGTTGTCACAATGCAACTCCATTGGCTTTTCTGGCTTGAAACCCAATTCTGTCAAGAGTCTTCTGATCTATAATAATTCACAAACTTCATGAGTCATTCCTCGATACTCTGCTTCTGTACTAGATCGAGAAACCACATTTTATTTTTTAACTCCGCCAAGTGACTAGGTTATCTTCCACAAATGTAAAGTAACTAGAAGTGGAGCGTTTATCTGTAACGGAACCAGCCCAATCAACATTTGTATATCTAACTACTTCAAGATCTCCATTTTTTACGAACATTAATCCTTTTCCATGGGCTGACTTTAAGTATCTTAAGATCCGATCAACTACATTCCTATGAGAAACACTGAGTGAATGCATAAACTGACTAACCACACTCACAACATATGCAATATTTGGTCTTGTGTGTACCAGGTATATCAACCTTCCAACAAGGCGTTGGTAATGTTCTTTATTGGTTGGTTTTTGGTCCATGTCTTCACACAACTCGTGATTCATATCAATGGGTGTGTCAGCCAGCTTACACCTAAGCATTTCTATTTCAGTGAGTAGATCCATTACATACTTCCTTTGAGACATAAATATACTGGTTTTTTACCTTGCTACCTTAATTCCGAGAAAGTACTTCAGATCACCTAAATCCTTCATCCCAAATTTCTGAGACAAATACTTTTACAGCTTCAGTTGCTCTTCGGTATTGTTTCCAGTTATGACTATATCATCTACATAAACAATCAATGCAGTAAGTCTTCTTCCATCACGCTTCATGAACAGGGTGTGATCTGAATTACTCTGTGTATATCCAAAATTCTTCATAGATTTAATAAGTCTACCAAACCATGCTTTGGGAGATTGCTTTAATCTATATAATGACTTTTTGAGCTTGCAAACGTGATTCTTCTTGTCACGAGCTATATTACATCCTGGTGGTAGGTCTATATATACTTCTTCTTCCAAGTCTCCATGTAAGAATGCATTTTTGACATCAAATTGATGTAATGGACAATCGAGATTTATTGCTAGAGACAATAGGACTTTTATAGTGTTAATCTTGGCTACTGGAGTAAAGGTCTCTTGGTAGTCTATCTCATATCTCTGTGTGTACCCTTTCGCCACTAATCTAGCTTTATATCTTTCAGTGGATCCATTTGCTTTAAGTTTCACAGTATAAATCCACATGCATCCTACTATCTTCTTTCCATTAGGTAATGGCACGAGTTCCCATGTAACATTCTTTTGGAAGACTTACATTTCTTCATTCATGGCTTCTTTCCATTTTGGGTTTTCTAGTACTTCAGTCACACTGTTGGGGACAGATATGTCAGCCAATTGTTTCACAAAGTGCACACGTTCCTCTGATAATCTGCTGAGATATATATAATTATTGATGGGGTATTTCCTTTTGGCCTTGAGATTTGCTTCATATTATACTCGAGGTTTGCCACGGTTCTTCCTTGATATGTAGGTTATGTGCGTTCTGAAATCAAATCATCATGGAGTATTTCATTAGTGTTATCAGTTTCAGGGAAAAAATGGTACCAGAATGACTTCTTCAGCAGGTGATTTGTGTAATACTGGCTTGAAGAATTCTACAGAGCGGGCAAAATCTCATAAAACGGTTCAATTAACTCCTTATGAGTTTGACAGCATGGAGACAACTGATCGTTTTCCTCTGGCAACTGGTCGTTTTGAAGCACGTTATCTGTGTTCAAAGAACTAAAGGGGGCGACCGGTCGCTTTCCACTGGAGACCGATCATTTTGAAGCAGAGTGACATCCTGGGGAAAAAAATTGAGAATTTGAGGAGTGGCAGAGTCTTGATTCTCCTCATGTGCTGCTGAAAAATATATGTCGTGTTCCCGGAACACAACATTCATGGAAGTATAAACCTTCTGACTAGGAGGATGATAACACCGGTATCCTTTTTTATGAGGTGCATAGCCAATGAAAACACACTTTTAGGATCATGGATCTAATTTGCTTCGTTGGTGATCATGTAAGTGAACAAATACAACACAGCCGAAAATTCAGGGTTTCAAGTTTGGGGTGAGAGGTATTTGGATATGGTGGTGAAGTGTTTGAAGTGGTGTTTAGGAATTTATGATACTAGAGGGAATCCGATTGATGAGGTATGCTGCAGAGATGACGGCTTCTCCCCAAAAAAGATCGAGCCATATTGGCACCAAAGAAAGAGCCACGAACTACTTCCAATAAATGTATGTTCTCTCTTTTAGACACTTTATTCTATTGGGGAGTATAGGGGCATGAGCCTTGATGTATGATACCATGATCTTGTAAGAACTAGTTAAGATCATAGTTGAGAAATTCTCTGCCATTGTCAGAACGAAGAACCTGAATTTTGCATGAAACTGGGTCTCCACCATTTGATGGAACTGTTGAAACTTGGAACTGACTTCCCATTTAGTTTTGAGAAGGGAACCCAAGTCATGTGTGTGCAATCATCTATAAAAGTGACAAACCTTCGAGCTCATGCCGGAGTGACAATTTTAGCAGGTCCCCAAACATCATAATGAACAAGAGAAAACGGAACCAAACTCTTATTTGAACTTTTTGAGAATAGGACACGATGACTCTTAGCCAATTCACACATATCACACTGGAAGTTGGAAACATCAAGACTGAAAAATAATGATGAAAACAACTTCTTAAGATAACCGAACGAGGCATGCCCAAGACGTTTATGCCATAACCAAACTTTGTCTCTCTCCTCCTCAGAACGAGTTTCACTGGTTGTGAAAGCTTGACTAACATTGGTCTCACTATCTGGTGCCTATTCCAAGTAGTAGAGTATGTCCCACCGAGTACCACAACCAATTGTTTTTCCTGTGAAGATGTGCTGAAAAACACAATAATTCAACCAAAATGTTACAGTACACTCCAAAGTAGTAGTAAGTTGTGCAACATACAACAAGTTATGGTCCAATGATGGAACAAGTAATACAAAATCCAGATGTAGGGAAGTAGAGAGAGATAAAGAGCCTTCCCCAACCATAGGGGAAGGGGTACCATTAGCATTAGACATTACCGATGGAGTGGATGATTTGTGACTAATAGGTTGGCCATGATCAAATGTCATGTGATCCGTAGCACCCGAGTCGATAATCCATGCGGATTTTTGAGATGACATATGAAAAGCAGAATCTTTGGTGGTGGCGATAGAAGCATGAGTCCGGGTAACCGGGTCAACATAATTGACTGCATGCTTTTGTGAGTCTGCAATAAGGGAGAGAATCGTAGGGGGTCCTGACATCGCAGGGGAAGTAAGATGTGATATGAAAATGTGAGGAATTTGATTTGAGATGTATGTATATGAGATTTGAGGGTATGTGTTTAGGGATTTTGATAAGAGGATTTGAGGACTTTAGAGTTGAGGGGTTTGGTTTTGACGAATTTAAATATGAGGAATTTGATTTAGGCCCGCGTCTGGTAACATTTTCGGAAAATGTTTTCTCAAAATATTTTCAGAGAATAAAAACGAGAAAACGAATTTGTATTTTCAGAATTTGAGAACGCATCTGGTAGATTAATTGGAAAACATATTCAAAAAATAAAAATAGTGAAAATGTGTCTGGTAGTACAAAAAATGAAAACAGTCCAAACGTGATAGTACATAAAATAACAAAAACAAAGAATGTACAACTTTAATTAAAATACATCATGTAATTATGTAAATTTATTTATTCTATACAACTTTATGTAATCAATATGTGAGTTATTTTTCAAAATTATTTTCTTAATCATTTTAAAAAAAAAGAATAAAATTCGACAGTATAAAACTAGAATTATCTTTAAAAAAAATTAAAATGAACAACCACAAGCCAACCTTCTCCTTCACTCTCTACAAAACCCACCTCAATCCTATCGCCTCCCCTATTTTACTCTCTCTCTCTCTCTCCAAAATTAAAACTCACCCACTGCCTTCACACCCACCCCTTAACATTGCAGTAACCCCATCAACCCACCTCTCTCCATCTCTCAATTATCTTCTTCATTATCATACAAAAAGAAGACTTCTATGGAAAGAATAGAAGACCCACTAATTTCACCACAAAAAGAAAGAAGATCCATGTGTATTTTCTAAAAAATATAAGATCCAGTGTGGGAAAATGACGAGCCTGAAATAAATGGGTGAGCTTGAGATAAATGGAAGATAGAGTGAAGAGAGACTAAGAACATTGTTCGGAGATTGCAAAATGTGTTTCCGCATATTCATGGAAAATGCTGAAAACGTTTAGGGTTTAGGGTTTTCAACTTCTGTACGTGAAATAGAATTCATTTTCACAATTTTGTTTTCAGCGTTTTCTCTCCGTACCTACCGAACGCAATCTCACCTATTTTCATTTTAGGAAAACAGAAAACGGGCCTATAAAACATTACTGAACGGGCCCTTAGGGTTTTGAATTTGAATATAAGAAATTTGGTATGAAGGTTTGGAGACAACCTAGGATCGATTGCTCTGATACCATGCTAAAATATGAATATGATTTGAATATTTTTGGTTAAGTTTTATTCTTCTCCATAAGGAGGTATATGTAGGAGTTTACATGAGTGTTTTACAAGGAAACAGATACAGTAATCAATTAGGATAGTATCTCCTAATTATACAATGATTTATCAACTATATAAAATAACAAAATAAATCCCTTAATTAATCGAGAAAATAAATCTTCTTTATTAATTATGAGACTCACATCAACAGTACATACATTAAAATTAGTGGGCACACTATTTGCATAGGGTGGCTGCATGACTGGACTTTAGGACTGAAATTAATAGATAACAATTACTGTCCTGCAATCAATCTGTAATTCTAAAATTGGACCCATATGTATCTAAGAGCCCCATAACATTATAGCATCCGTTAAGCCAACCAAAGTATAATAAGTATGGATGTCAAACCAAATGCACAAGTACATTAATGATGTATTTTTCTTTCTATATATGTTATAGGTGCACAACTTTGCCTTAATAAATTTGTTAACGAAGGGTGAATCTCTACATACACCTTGGCTTGGCTTTAAAACGTTTGTTATCAAGAGGTATAAAATGACTTCAAATTGCTAAATAACAAAATGTTTCTAAACATTACTATAAAAATATTCTGTCACTTTTTTGAAGTTCTTGTTATTTAAAGTTGATATCAGTTTGGGGTAAATATATAAATGTGATATGGTGTTTGAGATATTTTATAATTTTACAATTAGACATACGAGTGTGTGTCGTGAAAGATATAGTTCCTCTTCAAACTTTTGACTTCTTATGGAATTTGAGACCTCTTTTAATATTAAAAAAAAACACCACTATATTAGTATAATACAATTTTTATAATAATTTTCTAGTCTGATTCATCTAGATGTTTCAATGCAAGATGACGAACGCACTTGACGGGGCTTAAGTTGACCTCTCTCTAGTGTTAGGTAATTGTTAATGCATTTGTATTTTGTCACACACAGTTGAGTTGATCTAAAAACTTAATGACGGCAGGCCTTGCTATAGGGGAATTAATATATATATATATATATATATGATATAACGTGCATGAATTGTATATATATATATTCACATTGCTTTGCTTTGCTTCAGTAAGAGAGCTGGAGACGCCTACACATATACAAGGAGAAATGGACCAAAACCAAAAGCAGCTAGCCTCCCCACATCTTTCATGGAGACTCCGCCTCTTCCTGTTCTCCTTTTCCTTCGCCGTAGACGCCTCTCGCCGCTCAAACGGCACTCTCAACCGTCGTTTCATCAACCTCCTGGACTTCAAATCCCCTCCTCTAACCAAACCTCACAAAAACCTCAAAAGCTCTGACGTCATCGTCGACTCTTCCCGCAACCTCTGGTTCCGCCTCTACACTCCCACCGCCTCCTCATCCGCCACCACCCTTCCCGTCATCGTCTTCTTCCACGGCGGAGGGTTTGCGTTCATGGCCGCCAACTCAAAACTCTACGACGACTTCTGCCAGAGGCTCGCTCGCGAACTCCCAGCCGTCGTGGTCTCCGTCAACTACCGCCTCACTCCGGACCATCGGTATCCGTGCCAATACGACGACGCATTCGACGTCTTGAAATTCATGGAGAACGATGGCCAATACTTTCAGGGCGCGAATCTCAAACAATGCTTCCTCGCGGGAGACAGTGCGGGTGGAAACATAGCGCACCACGTGGCGCTCAGATGTAGCGGTCACGTGTTCCAGAATTTGAAGGTTGTTGGGATCTTGTCGATCCAGCCGTTTTTCGGAGGACAGGAACGGACGGAACCCGAAAGGAGGCTGGTGGGAGTGCCGGTAGTGAATTTGGAGCGGACGGACTGGATGTGGAGGGCCTTTTTGCCGGAAGGGTCGGATCGGGATCACCCGGCTGCGAACGTGTTCGGACCCAAATCGGAGGATATATCGGGGTCGGATTATCCGGCGACGACTGTGTTCGTGGGAGGATTTGATCCGCTGCAAGAGTGGCAGAAGAGATACTGCGAGGGGTTGAAGAAAAGCGGGAAAGAAGCCGAGCTGGTGTATTATCCGAACGCCATTCATACTTTCTATGGTCATCCGGAGTTAGAAGAGTGTGCTGCTTTTTTTAACAAAGTCAAAGATTTCGTGCAAATGCAAATTGTAAGCAGACAGAACATAAAATAGGACATCATTGAGGAGGATGATATCATATATGAATGGTAGGGGCCATCCACGGTAGTTTTGTTTAAGTGGCTAGTTAATGATTTTCTTGCAATTTTAGTCAAAAATAATTTAAGGAAAGAATTCCGATTACCATTCCAGGTAGCTCTCTCGTAGAAAACCTTTCATCTCAGAGGTGGTTTGTAAAAGCCTTTTACTGAATTACGTCACGTGATGAAAAAGATAGACACAAAGCTATAGTTAAGGGAAGTCTCACAGACGAAGTTTTTCTCCACAAGTAATGGCACAACACCTGATAGGCATGCTCGATGTCCACACACGAGAGATATATGAGATTTGCAAATATTATAGCTTTCTTAGTGCAGAACATTATATACAGCTACATAGGTCTGTTGAAACGCTATAATTATTAAGCTAAAAATACAAATATTGCATAATTTCCCCCCCAAAAAAAAAAACAAAACTCCGATATTGCATTGAAAATTCAGCTCCGTACTCTCCAAATCCAAGTTCAATAAATAAAGCCCTCTGGTTCTCATCTATGGGTTCGTTGTATCAAGCACTACTGTTGTGCACTTCGCTTCCACCACAACAATCAACAACGCCATCACTTCCAATCTGAAATCACCTTCTTTTCACAATATGACCTGAGAGAAAACTGTAATATTTCACATCCAACAATACTTGAGTACATGTATCTTTACGTTTCTTGGGTTATTTTCAGGGGGGGAAAACTACAATTTTCATAAAGGAATTAACTATTTACAACTCAATGAAAATTGGATAACAAATCACATCCATAAATCACAAAAATGCAGTGGCCGGCCCTGTTTCAAACTTATCTAAATTTTATGAAAAATAAAAAAATTTAGATCAACTGTACTATTTGTTGGAAGTTATATATCAACAGTAACGGGATCTATCAATAGACATATTGACAAAATATCAATCTCAAGAAAACCTTAGACGGAAATTTTGAATCAAAAGTATTAACACTACCGGAAAAAAAGTATCGAGGATATTATAGGTCTTTAATACTGTTGACACAAGTCATTACATGATTGTTGATATAAATGCTGCAAAAGCGAAAGTTTCAAAGGAAACATCAGGACCATAACATAAGTTTTTCCCTTTTATGTCAATCTAACAACAGGACTAATATTGTTCATCATGAACGTAGTAGTGGGATGTTTTTTTTTTTTTTTTTTTTTTTTTTTTTCCTAAAGTAATAGTAGTTATCTCTGTAGTAGCTATTCCTAAAAGAAAGTTACCGTAAGAATAATATAAATGAGAGACAAAGCACCTATCAGTTTATTGAAAAACTAAAATAATAGATAGCTGGCCAGCACCAATATGTCTGTCATAAGACAGTATGATATGGCTACTTGTCCTAGTCAAATTAATAAGAATAATTTACCCTATGTTGCTCTTACTACCATCAAGAAGAATCAAGTATACCAACCTTTCTCAACCACTCATCTCCTGGTTTTATCAAGAACCTCAATGGATCTCTTTGGGATCCCATATTGTTCAATCATATGCTTTGCCAGATCATCAATCACACCACCTTGAACCACAACCTCATGCCCTTTCTTACCTGAAAAGAGAAATATAAATGTATGTTCATAAGAAAACCTAGGAAGGGATCCTCAAGAAGCCACAATAAGTACTATTCCCAGACAACCAAACTTGCAAGATGCATTTCGTACTATCAGAGAAATTGTATCATCATACAATAAACAAGAAGAAACAACATTTACATGACTAATAGGAGCACTAATATTCAAACGCCCCACCATCCAAAAAAAAAAGAGAACCACACACTCTTACTTGGTATGGGGAACACAGGACCATCATGTTTTCAAATATAGAAAAACAAAAAATAATCACCTCTGCTTATCATCAACAAAAGACAAATAGAAAGGCAGAAATGTAATATTATCTACTGAAAACTTTCCAAACAGGCATTAATTTTTCTAATAAATGGCTGCATAAACATTCCGAGTCATGAAGAGAAAAAGTTACGACCCAACAGACATTCATTCAGGGACAATGGAGCACGGTACCTGGTAGTTCAGCCACTGTTGTGCTGCAAGCAAACTTCTTCTGTAGCTCTGATGCCAAAGCTTCAGGGTCCACCAAAAAAGTTTCCAGTCCTGACAATTTGGTTACTTTCTTATTACCTTGCCGCCTTTCTGTCATTATTTGTATTGTTTTCAAACCACCTTTACGAACAACCGACTCACTTCCCCTCGTCACAACGTGATGGGCTTGCATCCGGTTTACAAATGCTGCTCCTAAATCCCTCTTATGAATTTCCGTTGGGTACATTGTACCTTTTTTTATGGCTCCTTTGAACAGTGCATCACATAATATTGGATCCAAAACCACAATGGATTTATCTGTCTGCTTAACCAAGTTTTCTTTTTCAACATATGTAAAGACAATATCAGTGGCCTCTGAAGCACTGTAAAGTTTTCCTGTGTCAGCCCCTACAGAAGCTAATATGGGATTTACGTGTACACTTGGTTTATAGACCTCAACCACTTCAAGCATTCTGAGTGACCGACTTTCACTGACGGTAGGAACACCAGTTTGAACAGTTTTCTCCACTTGCCGTTTCTCTGGCTTGAAAGATGAGTAATCTGGATGCTTGCGGTTAACGGATAATAATATGGACTCCTTTTTATATTTATCTTCTTTCACTGTAATCTGCACATGTTTTGAAGCCAACATAGCATGAGCAACGAGAATAAAGATTCATCTAAAAAACTTAACTGTAAAAAGGCATAACAGTTACAAGAACATCAAAATTCAATCACCTGTCTCTGTTAAACTTCTCTACTTAATCAAGGTTATCACCCTCTTTCAGAACATACCAGAGATTTCTTAACAAGCTAAGCATAAATATCAACAAGACTCAAAAGTCACAACTCAGTACTGCTACCAAAATCCAACTTGCCATCTACGCATAAATTCACAGAAAAGGTGCCCATGAACCACTATTCTCCAGTTATAGATCACTGAACTAAAATGAAGAAAATCATGCCTTCTTTTTTTATCAGCAGAATGGAAAACTAAAGACAAGCCATCAAATGAAGAAATACACTGCTGAAACCAATAAAGGAAGACTATATGACTGATCTTGGAATTAAAGTTTTTTTATTTTTTATTTTTTTGCTCACTGTATACTTCTTTTTCATAATGCTCGTAGAAACTTAATATAAAATCTTTTTAGTCTATCTTCCGAGTTCCAAAGCAATCCTATTAACATAGCTGAGACCAATAATGCCACTCATAACTCTCAAAAATCAATTTAACTTGACACATAAGAATACCTCTGAAAACATTTAAACTTAATTCTTCATGTATGCCCTGAATATAATAAAGCACAACCTTAAATTTACTAGAATACAGATTAATAACTATAAATAAGTACTGTTACAACTTTGTCTGTGCTTGCTAAAGAGTAAGACTCACAACTCAATTCAGCATCCTATTCATTACTATCACTTGGTGCTCTTACTACAAGACCACTTAGAAGTTTAGAACTCATTGGCTTGCAAAATCAAGAAAACTAGAGGATATCCAATAAGATACGAGCTCCCAAAATGACAAGGTTAATGCACTAAAAGGGTTCTCTTTCAAGGAGAAGAAAATGAAAAGCTGTACGCACCAATCCTGTAGAAGATTTAGCTTGTAACCACTTCGATAATTTTTTGTATGATGATTTCTTGATGTCTAGTGTGATCCCGGAAGGCCTACAAGGCAAAACATGGTTTGACCTGTAGAAAACAAAAAACAAGTGAAGGAAATTTTATAAATCAAATGTTTACACCAGAGAGAGAGAGAGAGAGAGAGAGAGAGAGAGAGAGAGAGAGAGAGATCATGTGGAACAAATATAATATATTTATCATACCAAAGTGTGCTTCCAGGCATGGGAAGGTCTTTATCCTTAACAGTTGTATGCAATGCTTGCAAAAGGCATTTTTCTAAAAGCGTGTCTACATCCTCAGTGGAAAGAGGATGTTGATCCTCCTCAATCGACTGATCAGCAGAGCCATCATCTGTTACCTTCAGATCGTCTACATGTGCAGCTATTTCTTCAGCAATCTCATTCCCAGAATTGGTCTGTGCCACCAAAGCAGAACTAGGTTCAGAGAGCACATCAGCAACATCAACAGATTGCCCATTTTCCTTATCACTGATGCCATTCTGTTGATCATTTGAACTATCATTTGCACCAGAGTATGAATCAGAAACTTGCAACGATGACAAGGTAGGATCCTCAAACACAACATCTTCAAAAAAGCCCACATTTGGCACATAAGGACACTCTACTGATTCCCTGGAAAAAGATCCCAACAAAAATGTTATTATACAAAATTTCCAATTATTGATCAATCTCTATGTCTGTTTCTCCACAGATACTTACCAAAGTAAGTCATGGTAATAGTGCATAATCTTTAAGGCCTTTCCTCGTAAGCCAGCTTTTGCTGCTTCAGTACTGCTCATAGTGGTAATCCCCACCTGTAGTGAAATTGACAAATAAGAAGAATATGCCCTAATTTTAATTTAAATAAATAAATGAACTGAAGGTTTGTCCTGGTAATCCTAAATGCATTAGCATGTACTTATTAAAAAGAGCCTTACAGCCATTGGAGCAGGATTTCCTGGAACTTTTACCGCCCATGCTTCCCCTGCTATAAATGAAGGTAGACCTTCAGCAGGTATGCTGATACCAGGGAACATCAAATCCGCCCCTCCAATGATATATCGAGAAACCTCACCCCCTTTCAGCATGAAAGAAGGCAAGAGATCAGGGACCTTCCAGAGCGCATAAACTGAAATGGAAAACCATCAAGCAAACAAAAATTGTGAATATGTTGCACATATGCTCTGACTAGCATATTTTGCATGATTGACCACATTCTACCAGAGAGACTTCTTCAACTTTTTATTGACCCAAATTAGGAAGTGAACAACCAAGTCCTATGTTTCTTCAGCTTTGTATATTCTTTTATAGAAATTATTAAATAATTTAAATTGCTTTACTTATAGTTTGGCGTCACTCTTATTCCAAACCAAATTAGGGGCCAAACTTCTCGGCAATTTTCATTTATTTCCTTTCTGAATCATCAGTAGTGTGCATGTGCAGTGTGTTCTAAAGATTTTTAAGATACAAATCCACTACATTAATTTAGGATCATGCCTCAACACTATTGTGAGAAAAGATTGCACCATAGAAAGATTGTACACTCACATGGTAACCTTTCAAACATAACTTCTACAACTTATAACACAACGTAACCCAATCAAAAAAACACTTAAACAAGCCAAACCAGTTCCAAAGAGAAATAAATACAGTTATTTAAATAAGAAGAATTAATTACACTTTGGAACTTCAATAGATTGGTTAATTTAATGTGTTCAGTTTGTAACTAAATCTTTCACTAACAGGAAACAGGAACTCAAGTAGTCATGTGACAGCATGAAAAGTAGTTCACATTATAATTTATTTCAAAAAAGTTTCTCCATATAACAACCAAATTGTGCATCATGAAATGCAGGAAATTTAGATTTTAAAACTAATAATAAGAATATATATATACACACACACACAGATATACAGAGAGCTTCCATTGAGGGGCGCCCTTGTAGGGCTCACTTCGCATTGTATTTCACTAATCCAAACCGTCTGTTTTTTAGATAATTATTCAAAGATCATCTCTACAAAAAATCACTTGAATCTGATATCATTTGAACATTCAATTGAGTTATTGAAATTTTAGTACTTTCTTGAAGCACCGTGTTCATTGATTTTGTAGGACACGATTGGATGTCGAAACGGTTTCCAATTTGTCTAATTTTTTGCAAGGATGATCTATGAATGTAGACTTAAAAAATAGATGGTTTGGATCTTTGAAAAAAAAATTGTAAGGAACCCTAAAGGGTGTCCCTCAATAGAAGGGGACTGTGTGTATGTATATGTATATATATTAGTAGACATTATTTGTTTGATTAGGCTCTCTTTCGAGAATTATCATAGCAATCAAAGTAGTGTCTTTGATACACATACTCCTCTCAAACAGAAAGTTAAAATTATTGTCTTCATACTTCTTGGTGTCATGCTAGCATCAACCTCATTCAAAAGAACTACCTAGTCAAGTGTCGCACATACTAGAAAAATATAGTAAGGCTAAAAACCAAACTAAACATTAAGGAAAGAATATTTGAAAAAGATGGTGTGATACCTGTGGGAAAAATGTCTGTGCCACGCCCATCAATATCAAAGAAGATAGGAAAGCCTCCCTCTACACCATATACATGGACTCGATTTTGAAATTTTGCAACTGCTATCTCCACCTAGAAGATTAATTTCATAAAAAGGTGCAGTTGTCAGTAATGAAGCTATTTTATCCAAAATAAATCTAATATCAAAACTTCCCCCCACTTATTTCTTTTGTAATTCGTACTGGATGTTTCATTATCAACTCACTAACTTAAGAATAATTGCATTCTGGTTATTAGTACAATCACTCACTGCAATTGGCAATAACTAGGTGCAAAATTTTAGTAAGAATGCAGTAATTTGAACTCAGGGCACCAGTACAAATGACAACCAAAACAATGGAAAAATAAGTCTGGTATGCATTTCGTGAAAATTTTAAAATTCAAAACTAGAATAGGATTAGGCCAATGCTAAAATTCTGGTAAACAAGGGAAATGGCTCCTATCTAAAATGCTACACTACTACATGGGATAAATAAATAAATCCTACTAATCCGAACAGGAATAATAGATTATCCAAACTCATCATAAGTGTTTAAGATTAAACAAAAACCTTAACCCCGCTTTCAACTACGCTTAAAAAACAAACCCAGAATTCATTTACCAATCATTGGAAGTATTCAAATTTGCAGCACTAAAACTCGAGGAAGCAGAAAAACCCAGAAACCTACTGAACCCATTTCGAAATGAGAAATGCCAAGCAATCCCATTACCCAATTAATGGAGAAACAACATACAAAATCATGAATTGAAAGACGACCTTGGGAGGGAGTACAGAATCGATATCGGATTCAGAAGCTCTGGGAAATTTGTTTTTGAGGCTTCTCTTAAGCTTCTTCCTATCAGCCCCTGACAGTCTCTGGTGTGACCTTGCTTCCACTGCCTTCTTGAACATCTTTGTTTCTCAGTTCTTTCTTTCTGAGAGTGCGTTTTCACATTTCAGGCATGTGTTTGTGTTTGCGCTGTTTAGACAGAGTAGAAGGTTCTGGGCAAAAACTGCTAGGGCGGTGCGGTTAGCCCTTGGGCTTAAAAACAAATAGTAAGGGGCTGTTATATGCACCCAATAATTCGATCACTACACCGGCCCGAAAATATACCCAAACTCTATTTGGGCAAACACCTAATACGAGTTAAACCCAAAACCAAATGTGGGTTTGTGTATAAAGTGTGGACAGGCCTTATCTAATAAGTACGAGTCATTTTATAAAGAAGACTTTATCTAAGGTCATTAGATGGGGTCCTATTTTTTTTATTTGATCAAACTAACTAATTTGATTCAATGATTAAGAGATAAGATCTCATCTAAGGTTGTGCTAGCCACACAATTGTGGTTGGGCTAACTCAGCGTCAAACTTGCTTATCAAAATTTGTGTTATATGCGCAAGCAGTCTAATGTGATACGGTGATTCTTAGGTTTGTGGTTTTATTTGAAATTGTTGAGGCCCAAAAATCCAAGGGGCTAAGCCCAAATTAATTCTTGGCCCAACACAGATAATGGAACACAAAAGAAGCTTAATTGGGACAAAAGAGAATTTGTAGGACGCACTATGAGCCACGTATCATGCCAAGCAAGCACGTGCAAAAGGGCCAAGAGCATGCCAACTTTACAAAATCACGCTCACATACCCATTCGGTGTTACTTGGCCCGATTATAGCATATCACAGCATAATAAAACTCAAGCACAAGCATAGGTGTTATGTAAGAAGAGACATTATTCTAACACCAAGCCGTGCCACAAGCTTAAGTAGGCCCAAGCCACAAAATTACCCAGGGCTTGCTAAGAAGGTTGTGTGGATGGGTACAAGCAATCACAGGGCCCATTGAGGGTTCGAGGAGTGAAGGTTTTAGGCCACTTGGGAGCATTAAAACTCAAGCTCATTCCTCGGGCCCAAATACATGGGTTAGCATGAGAGAGAGAACATAACCCAATGCCTTAGAAAGAGTACAATAGCTTGTTTAGGAAACCTTATGTTAATTAGAGCACCCAAACACTTTTTCAAAAACACTTCTAGCAGCTTGACGAAAACCCATTAGATGTTGGAAATAACACGCTAATAACCCAACACTGTACACACAAGCCCAGCCCAAAGCCTTATAAAAAATCTGGCATCATGCTCCATCCTTGTTAGGACTCCAAGACGATCAAACAAGGAGCCATGGCAGGAACCAACGGAAATCCATGTGTGAAGGACAAATACCCATCGGACAAAGAACTCCACCGATCTCTTTTTTCCTCTGTAAGCTCCATCTTGAAAACCCATAAGGAAAGCAGGTGGCGCCTCACCCTCATGGGGAGGTCCAATTGCATCAAACCCTTGGAACCACAAAAGGCTCCTTACCCATGCACCTTGTATAGGAGAATTTCACCAAATTAGATCAAGTAGGAAGAAGCAATAGAAAGGAGGGAGAAAAGTTAGACGAAATTGGGGCTCTTTCAGCCTATAAAAGGGAGCTTCTCCTACCCAGCGAAAGCATCATACACAGCCTGACCAAGCTTTGTCAAGCATATGAGAATTTACTCAAGCCACCCAATCTTCTTCTTCATTTGTTTTCTCCTTCCCCTTAAGATAGAAATTGTTCTAATCGTCCTCTACCCACTTCAAACCCTTGTTCTCTTCAAGGAATTCATGCTTCTCTCTCTCTCTCTCTCTCTCTCTCTCTCTCTCTCTCTCTCAAATTGCTAAACTTGTGAAAGCTTAGCTCCCATGCCACAAGCTTCTCAAGCTAAGCCCTTAATTGATTTATCATGTTTATTTGTCTATTGGTGAAAAGAACCTAAGAGTGTTTTTCTAAAGTGTCATCAGACTTTTCCAAAACTTTTTTGAGAGCTTGGTTTCAAACTTAGACACTTTGGGAATTTTGTTTCTTTTTCTTCTTACGACAACCCAAGCCCATTCGTCAGGCTGCTGTTACAAAAAAAAACCCTACATAAATTAATCCCTAAAATTGTTTATTTTGTTAGGTAGGTTGAGAGGAAATGCAAACTTTGAGCTTTCTTAACCTAATCCCTAAATTGGCATTTCTTTTTAAGCTAAAAACAAAACCAACCTTTGTAAAGGGCAATGAGGAATTAAATTATTGTTGTAAATGTGAGATAAATAGACTTGTATGATCACAAACAATCTCACTTTCATCCAATTATTGTATTATGTCCTCTCGTCTTTTTGTTGGTCATAGTTGTCTCTTCTCGGTTTTCTTAATGTAACTCCTCCCATCACAACTCTTTTTTTTAATGTAAGCGATAGTCTACACGGAGATGAGATTTTTTCACACACACTACCAAAAATGTCATGATTGTTCAAACTTGAGATCACTATTGTGTAAGTCAATGCATTTTTCCACTAGACTAGACCCCATTGCCCACAACTTTTCTTTTAAGTCAAACTCCTCCCATCACATTATACAATTGAGAATTGGGTTAAGCTTTGACCAAAAAAGAAAATAATTGAATGAGCTTTAACCAAAAAAGAAAACAAATGGGTAAGCATGAGTTAGAATGAATCATGATGGTGTGTGTTTACTGTTGCATAATTACATTACTACAAGTCAAGATCAGGTGAGGGCAAGTGCAACAAAGAAGATCAAGAATCCAAGATTCCTCGACAACACAATCTAAAGATTTAGAGATTGGACCAAATCACATTGGTTGAATAGTATCGGTTTCGATGTGAGGTAAAAAACAAACCGAACTGAATCACACCCACCCTTATCAGCAGTCATGGTTGACAAGAAGTGTTGGTGCTAAAACTAAATAGATATAGATAAGAGTAACTTACAGGTGATGCAGACGATTGGGGGGAGGGGGGGCAGCGGTTGTGCCTTCGGTCAGCACATTCTTCCTTGGTTGGCAATGCTGGATCTGGGCCAATGAGAGAACAACAGATGAGGACTAAAGCACCGGTGTGGTACCGGTCGAAGACCCTCCGATGCTAAAGTTAGTTTAAAGAGCAAGCTATTGACAATGCAAGAGCATAGGAGTCAAGTCGAAAGTTTTACCATGTATCTAGGGCAAGATGCCTTATTTATAGAGAGTGTTGGGCATTCCCTTAGTACTTAGTTTCAATGTGGAACTCGTGGGAGTGTCTTCTAAGGTTGACATGAGTCCCAGCAAATATCCCAGCAGGGGATTCGAGAACGTCTCTCAAGATGTCTTTTAGGGCATAGAATCGGCAAGGTGTGCCGGACGCATGGTTGATGAATAATCGGAGGATAGAGCCGGAAGCGCTTGCCATTTGTAGGATTGGGCTCGCTAGCATGGGTTACAAGGCTATGTTGGGTGTGGAATCGGTCGTAGGCACCGAAGATACCTACCGATCCATACTACTTGGTTTGTCAGTGTGGGCCATAGGGTCTTCCTTAGTGTCGTACTCTTTCCACCAGTCATGACGTGAGTGGCAGGTCAAATATGGTACAAACAGGAAGTGTGCTTGTAGGGAAGAGAGATAGGGAGTGTGTGTATGTGTGTGCTAGGTTTATTTTTTATTTTCAAGATTTGATTATATTTTATTGTTTTTACTAGAGCCAAATATGGGTGGACATTAGAACCGAAAAATTAGAAAATCAAGTCGAACCAAGTCGGAAAAAAATTATATATATACTAAAGCTCAATCCAACTAAACACTATTCTTAAGCACAGTGCAATGACGAAAATGCCCCTCTTTTTACTGTTGTTTCCTGTTTTGTTTCCTCTCCAGCACAGTGAATTACCGAAAATGCCATTCACTAAACATTTTCTGCTCTTCCCTTTTTGCCCATTCTCCTTCAGTCTTTCTTCCCCTGCGAAAGTTTTGTTTGCTCAGACAAGGAGTCCATCTCCAGTTGATTTCGAACCAGCTGGTTGGCTTGGTTGGGGGGCAGCGATAGAAGATTTCCATTCACTGTTGGAGATGCTTTCGTGGCCGTCGATTTTCGTTTGGGGAGGCGTGATGCGAATCCAGCCGCCTTTAGGGTTTAGGGTTTAGCTTAATTTTCCATTCTTTCCATTATTCAAACTTCATCTCAAATAAAATAAATCTGATTTGTCGTTTACAAATGCGTAGGAAAACTGTTCTAAACAGTAGCGTGTCAACAATGATTTTCATCGATCCGAATATACAAGAATTAGATGCATACAAAATGGCGTATGAGTTTTTTATCCTTTTTATGCTAACGTACATCTTTCTTCCTCTTTTATCCGAAACTAATAACCTCTTTTTTATACATAAAAACAACAAAAACGAACACAGATTTGGCGCTTTTGCAGATGCTATTAGAATGGTGCCTCCTTCTTCGATTCAACCGATTAGGCCTGAGGAATTAGAAACTGCTAAAAAGCTATCTGTACAAGAGTTGAATGTTCTTGATCCGGATTCATGAAAGGTAAAAATGCCAATTTCCTTCTTTTATCTCCCTATTATTCTTAATTTAACATACAACATTATAAATTATTTAAACTAGAATTTATTTCGATTTTCTCTTATTGTTGTATGTTTTATAATTGTTATCATTTTATTAACATGTCTGTTTAACCATGTTCTAGGATGCTTTCATTTTATGTAGAGTAGCCATTACACGTTTTGATACGCGTAATGGATGGTGGTACAGAGCATGCCTATCCTGCTTCAAACAACTTAGATCCATTGTCCACATTGATGAACTTCTGTGTCCTAAACACAACAATCAAATTCCTCTCCCTTGGTAATACAAATATTAGCAATTAGTTTCATCTTATTTTTTCATGAACTTTTGACACAATTATCTTACATTATTAAAACATTACATGAATTTTACATACATGTTTAAAGTTGGTTTAGTTCTTGAGGATTTAACTGATGAAACGAATGCTCTGATCATTAGAAAAGTAGAAAAGCAGTTTTTTGGAATTTCTTGTAATGAATTGGTTATGCAACACGATTATATTGACCAGCAAGAGTTTCCACATGCAATTCTACAGACAAGAGGCCAATTTAAAAAATTTCAACTTCAATTTGGGAGCATAAAAACTGATTCAAACAAAAATGATTTGCTCATTCAAGTTGTGTTTGATGAGAAGGTACAACTTCTTAAATCAGGATCAGAAGCAAACTTTGTTGAACGTCAGAAAAAAAAATTATTGTTGCCTAAATGCTTCCGCCCACTCCCCCACTTATTTCAAAGCGAACACCGCCTATATCTCTCACTGTCTCATCCAATCCTTCTTCAGTACAGCCTATTTCAAATTCGAAAAAGAGACGTAAAATTGCAATGAAGAGAGCTCTTCTCGCCTCTTTAACAAGTAAAAAACAGAAAATGTTAGATTTTACGTAACAATTAACTCATTCGTATCGATATTTTTTCATAAACATTTACTAAGACTTTTCTTTTCACTGTGTTTTACATGTTTCTAAGTGATGTTGAAGCTGAAAATAAATCTGAGAAAACTGTTGTTGTGCAAACCAGAGAAGAAAATGTGTCAGATTCTAACAATTTACCAATGATCGGTTTGAAGAAGAAAATAGTCCAAGGCAGTTCCGAAACCGCCTCTCCTACTTCGACATCAGAGTTTGTGCTTTTTCCTTTTCAATTCATTCATCTCGCTGACGCACACATTACACACCAAATATTTCATTGCTATTTCTCATTTTTACTTATTAAACTTAATTCTATCATAATAATTAATACTTGCCATTTTAATCTGATTGTGCACAAGTCACTAGTACGAAAAATTGGGTACAAGAAGGCTGCAGAGAATATAAATACAAGTTGAGGACATACAAAATTTATTGCAAGATAGCTCCCACATAATTCTAGACGAAAATCACGGGTTGCAATCCATTCCAATTTAATCACGGACGTACAAAATTTCATTGTTATTTCTCATGTTTACTTATTAAACTTAATTCTATCATAATAATTAATACTTGCCATTTTTTTACTTTATGCTAACAGAGAGCTAAAACCTCTGAAAAAAGAAAAAAAGGCATCAGCCAGGCAAACAACAAATGCAGCAACAATAAAAGCCCTTTACCAAAAACATCAAATAAGAAAAATCCATGTCCACCACCCATTAAAATATAGATAAACACATGTACAAGCTTTTTTTAACAATACGCAACTTAAGGCTGCTCATATTTTGATGTTTTAATAGCTGCTTGATATATTAAAATATGCACAATATTTTAACATAACAAGCAGCATATAAAACATGATGTTAGTTTATGTTTTGCAACATAAGCTTGCCAAACTCATGATGGCATTGTTTACATCTCAATGTATATATAAATAGGCCAAACTCATGATAGCACTGTTTGCATCCCCTCAACTTTTTAATCAATTAATGACTTGCTGATGGATTTTTGAACATGTTGTTGAATCCTTTCATTCCTTGCCCAAATTGATTCTGTAATGAGTTGTTAATTTGTTGTTGTAATGATAGGTTTAGATAATTACAATATCTGAGCATGTTGGTGAATCCTTTAAGCGTTTTGGTAATTAGGTACTTGAGAACTCCCAACGTGGGGAGAGAGTGACAATGCGTAATTGATTGAAGGGAAAAAGATGATGTCTTTCTCTTTGGCCCCATTTGGTTCATGAGAAAGGAATCTTGGGGACGGGAAAGCAATTGATTTCCCATGTTTGGTAAGTCAGGCATGGGAAATCATTGCCTGAGACATAGGAAAGTAGGAGGGAAAGTGATGCCATCCTTCCTCTTTGGTTTTTACTTTCCCTTCCCAAGGGAAAGTAAGGCCAGTATTAAATGCATTTTTTTTCTGACTAATTTGTCCTTACTAATAATTTATAATTACAGTTTATCCAACAACAACAATGTTTTATTTCCCCTTATGTATTCTTTTTTGTTTTTTTTAATTCATATTTCTTAAAACTCTCCCAGCAGCAACGTTCTATTTCCCCAGATATTTCTCATAACTCTGTCTAACAAGGAAGGCAAAACTTCAACCTCACCCAAGTTTTCACATTCTCATCCTTAGAGCAACTTCAAACAAGGTGGGTATTATACTTCTATTTATCACCTAATAATTTTCTTCTTCCTTTTTTTCCCCACTTGAGCACCCAAAATTTCATTATATGAATTAACTTGAGCTTTGGGTTTAAAAGTTGGATAATTTGATGTCTTTCTACTTTTTCTTTTTCTTTTTCTAGGTTTAACATGTATTTTGCTCTAATACACCGTCTGAAATTTTGATTGAGGTAAGACTAGACATTGATAGAGGAATTTTTTTATAATTTGGTGTGTATGGGATGGTGGATTATGATGCCAATTACCCAAATCACACTAATAAAGTTTGCTTAATTATGTATTGGTGTTTTTACGTTAATTTTGGTATTTAAGTTTCTTATTGATTGTTTTCTTGCTATAATTGATTATGGTAGTAATTGGTTATGTTATTAATGATATATTATGCGGTTATAGTGCGTATAAAATTGTCAAAGAGGAAAATGACTCTTCTAATGTTGGACTCTATTAGGTGTTTGTCTAATATCATCATCATATTCTACATTATAATGTATATCATTACGGAAAGGCATTATAGAAAGTACATCCTGATCAAGACCTAGAAATAATGATTTTCAGAGAATTGGAAATATGAATCGCATGACATATGAGATTGATAGAAGATGTGTAGACAAACTCCACATGGATTTACATACATTCTCCAAGTTATGCTCTATGCTAAGAGCCACTGGTAGACTCCATGATACAAGGAATGTTTCTGTAGATGAAATGGTAGCTGTCTTTTTGAATGTATTGGCGCATCACAAGAAGAACAGAGTCATACAAAATGATTTTTACCGTTCTGGAGAAACCATTAGTAGATATTTTAATGCAGTTTTAGGGGCAGTTTTATGTCTACAAAATGAGTTGTTAAAAACACCAGAACCGGTGCATGAGAACTCTACAGATGAGAGGTGGAAATGGTTTAAGGTAAATCATGAATTTGCCAAAAGTCTTTATTCTTATATGAAAAATAAGAAATAAATTTTGCTTACAAATTGTTTAATCTGTTTAATCTTGTAGAATTGTCTTGGAGCACTAGATGTGACATATATTAGATTACATATGCCAGAAGCTGACAAGCCTATGTACCGAACTAGGAAGAATGAGATTGCTACAAATGTCTTGGGAGTATGCTCCCAAGATATGCAATTCATATATGTATTACTTGGTTGGGAGGGTTCTGCTGCAGATTCCCGAATACTTCGTGATGCAATTAGTAGAAGACATGAGTTAAGGGTCTCTCGTGGTAAGAGATGATTGAGTGAATTAATTAAATTATTAAAGTTCTTGGTATTTAATATTTTTTTATATTTTTATCAACAATAATAGTTACAACTTTTATTCAATAGAAAATTATTACCTTGTTGATGCTGGATATCCAAATGGAGAAGGATTTCTTGCCCCGTACAGAGGGCAGCAATATCATTTAAATGATTGGAGAGATGGATATCAACCTACCACTCCTAAAGAATTTTTTAACATGAAGCATTCTTTGGCTAGGAATGTAATAGAGAGGTGTTTTGGATTATTTAAGTCATGTTAGGCAATACTGAGGAGTCCTTCATTTTTTCCAGTGAAGACACAATGCCGGATTATTATAGCTTGTTGTCTTCTTCACAACTTTATAAGAAGAGAAATGACTATTGATCCCGAAGAAAATGAGTTAAACGAAAATATCTACAACCAAGAAGAAGATGATGTTATCACTAGCATTAACTCATCGGAAGAATGGGCTGTTTGGAGGGCAAACTTAGCCGATCATATGTTCAATGAATGGAGAGAAAATAGGAACCCAAGATGAGCAATTGAAATGGAGAAGAAACCTTTTTCTAGGTCGGATTTTGGAATGGGGATAAGGGCCTTAGGTTGGTTGAATGTTATATCTTGAAAATTAGATTTTGATGGATATGTGTAAACATTTGAAATGTGTTGTTGAATGTTTTTTTTTTTTTTTTTTTTTTTTTTTTTTTTTTTTTTTTTTGGGGGATGTATGTATATAAAGATTTAAGATTTCCTTAAAGTGATTTCTCAAGTGACTAGTCTTAAGTAATTACAAGATTATGTGTAAGATTTGAATTGTGTGATGTACTTGCAAGCTGTGTAATCATGTATTTGTCATATTGATTTGCCAATGTTCATTCTAGTTTTTTTCTTTTTCTTTTTTGGCTTATTCAGTTATTGCACCCTTACCACCTTCTTTTCATCTAACTCTACTTTTAGTACACTTTTTGCTTGATAGAATAAACATACTTCTATATCAATGAGCTCTTCTAGAAAGTTTCTATAGAACTTGTTTACAACATAAGACTTTGTTTGTTAGTTGTATGTTAATTTTACGTGTTTATGTTCAAATTTTTCTTGTGTATATAGGATGGATTTGGGTATGAACTCAACACCTACTACTGCTGGAAGGAATAAAAAGGATAAGCACATTTGGACCCCTATTGAAGATGCATCTCTAGTTAAGGCTTTAAATGAATTATGTGTTGGTGGCTATTGGAAGGTTGACAATGAGGTTAGATCTAGATATTTGGGACAATTAGAAAAGGCTATGGAACAAAAGTTACCTGGATGTGGATTAAAAGCAGTTCCTCACATTGAGTCTCGTGTGAAGACATTGAAGAAACAAACACTAGCCATCTCTGACATGCTCACCAACTCAAGTGGTTTTGCATGGAATGATGAAGAAAAAATGGTGGTATGCGAGAAACAAGTCTTTGATGATTGGGTTAAGGTAAGCCAAATTGTATTCAGAATTGTCATCATCAATTATTATTATTATTATTATTTTATATATATATATATATATATTGGCATCTAATTTCAGGGAAGAAAAAAAAAGGGTACATAATTCTGCAAAATGATTAAGAAACAAACCATTTCCTCATTATGATACTCTAGTGGAAGTTTTTAGGAAAGATCGAGCAAATGGCAAATGAGCTGAAGGTCCTGCTGAAGTGATTGAAGATCTTACTGATAATAATACTTTTAACTTTGAAGGAGATGGCCTAAATGACATCAATTTTTCTTCCCCTACTACCCAGACTCCTATATGTCATCCTTCGACTCGTCCCAATAAAGGGCACAAAATGACAATTTGTCGCAAATTATAGGAGATATGGCTAGCACACTTCGATCTTTTGTGGACATGACCAAGACTCATTTGGAGACTATGAAATGTGTTCTAATGAGTGAGAATGCAACATCATAACGAAGAGCCAAAATTGTTGATGAGGTTCAGAAAATTCAAGGTTTGAGTGATATGGATGTCATTGATGTTGCTGCTGCAATTGTCAATGATGACGCAAAAATTGACCTCTTGTTCACTTTACCAGATAATTTAAAGATACAATGGGTTAAGAAACTTCTTCACCAGTATTAGAAATGGTTTTCAGTTATGCAATTTAAATGAATCTCATGTTAGAAACTATCTTTTTGAAATGTTTTAGTGCAATATTTTGGAATGTAGGTGATGACTTAAGCTTGGCTGGGCTATATTGTATTTTGAATTTTAGATGCATATGCATATGCATTTTAAGGAACTGTTGATGATGTTGTAGTACTTGTTTTTTTGTTTAGAATCTTGTGATTGTGAGTGAGGAACTTCAATCGATCTGCTGGTTGTAGAGGCATTTTGATGAATAGTTATATTAGATGCTAGTTGCATATGGATTTTGAAAAACAGTTTCATGAAATGCATATGCAGTTTCTCAAACTACTTTGTGATTAATTCATATTTGCTGTTAAAATGCTGATGATGTTGTCATTGGTTTTGTTTTCAGAATTTTTTTTTATTGTGATTTAATGGTCTATGAAATTGTAAACTCGGATAGATCAATATTAAAATGCAATATGCAGGATTGATATGTGATTCAATCTTTGTACTACACAGCAAAAATAAAAAACACAACAAATTGAGAAAATAAATGAAGACAACGTATTTGTACGAAATCTCGCACGAGGAAAAAACCCTCCACACAGGAGAGAAAAACCTCAAAGCACGCAGCCAATTTCACTAAAAACTTAAGAACAAATACAAGACTCAATTGATACTTTCTTACACCACAAAAGAAGATTGATCAAATACTCTTGTCTTGTACAAACACGTCCTCTTCACTTTCTCTTGGATGAACACCAATTCACGCATGTTGATCTTCCTCACAAGCAAAGCTTCCATAATGTTCCATGATGAATGAATGATATGTTATGCTCTCAAACTATCACCTAGATAAATCTAAGAACTTAACAGCCTTTTATCTTTCTCCCTTGATCTTATAAAATAATCTCACGATTTTGATTAGAGTGCACAAAGGAGGGTAAAAGGAAAACTTCCAGCACAACCCTTTATATACTAGGTTAACTCGTTTACCTAATAAACAAAGAGATTGGCCTGATTTAAACCTCTTCCTTATTTAAGACTCTATGCAAATTTGTATAGACTTTACACCAACTCAATCTTTAATTGGGAAAATAAATCCAATATGAATGCAAATGATTCTTACTAGAAAAGAGCTTTGTCATGTAACACTAGTCAATCATGCTCCTCATTTACCGCAAGGTCCAACCGTCGCAAGTTACAATTAATTCTAAGACTAGGAATACCCAACTTACATACTCTTTACATTTGCTAGGAAATAGCCAACTAAAAATACGTTTTCAGTCTGCTAGCTGCATATGTAGCTTGAGGAACTGTTTTATGTTAAAATCATGTATGAAGTCTTGTTTTATATGAAATCAATATGAGGATAATAAATATAAAGTCTAGTTTTTAGAATGTTGATGATGTTTCAGTTGGTTTTGTTTTCTGAATTGTGTGATTGTGATCCAATTTTCTGCTAGCTGTATATGCAGTTTGAGAGATGCAGATTAACTGCTTTATGTTTAATTCATATAAAGCCATGTTTTTAGAATGTTGATGATGTTTAGATGTTGAGATGTTGAAGTCAATTCTTATTTATTTATTTATTATTATTATGTATGATGATTAGTCTTTTTTAAAGTATAATTGTTTGGCCCTAAAATTGACACGCCTAGACCAACAAAGGAGGCCCAGAATAAAACCACAAAACTCAAACAGTTTTGTCTTTGAAAAAAAAGGGGGGAAACAGAAGCCCAAAATCCAGAAAGGGCTAGCCCAAGACCTATTAAAACAGACAAGCAAAACTTGGGCCTCAAAAGAAAAGTCACCTTCGGGCTCCAGACAAAAATAAACCCAGCACGATTTTGATAAAAGAAAAGACCCATTTCTTTTCAGAAAACCACGTGACACCCTTTTATCAGATTTGGAAAAGTCAACAAAACCAGCCATTACAGTGATGATTAGAGAGGGTCAGTAGCTGGCAAAACTGGGAAGGGAAATCTCTGAAATTCTAAAAGATCAAATCCCCTTACATATGAATATATTTAGAGATATTTCTTCTATTCAGAAGGTGATTTTCCCAAAGAGATAAGCAAACACAATCTCAGAGAAAGATATACAAGAAAACAGGGACCTGTTCAAAACTGAGAATTAGACTAACCATCACGGTTCTCACAGGGGGGGCAGTTGGAATTAAAGAAGGGTTAGGTACTTTTTCAAGAAAAACAGGGAAATGATCTTAAGAACTGACTATTGAGAGCTTATCTACCAGAAATTGATCAAAACCCCCTTTCTTTACAATTAAAAATGAAAGATCTTTTTAAAGAAAATTGCCGCCCATTATTTAAAAGAATTACCCTGCTCCAGATAACATCTCTTATAAATACAAGAAGGAGTGAACAGGGCAACAAAACAATCAATCGAACACTCAAGTCATCAATCAAACAAACAACTCAAAATCAACCAGAAGCTCACTTGAATTCCAAGTGAAAACCAGCTTTAGATCAAAATTCTCAAGGTTCAGACTTAGAAAATAAGTCATTCAAAACGAAATTTCTCTCGTTACAAATTTGGTTCAGTAAAAAACCAAGACAGGTAGAGCTTGAGCTTTTCCCAAACATAAAAACCTCAACAAATTTTACAGTACAGTCTCTAGCCCACTGAAGTCCTCGAGAACAGCCACTTCTGCCCTTACAGATTGAAGAAGCCGCAGTTCTGCCCACTCAGAAGCCTCACAAAAGTTTGAAGTGTATTAAAGCTCTGCCAAAATTAACATTTGGTATCGATCTACAGCTGAAGCTTAGCAGCTGAAGTTGTTAACAGTCCAGTCCAACCCAGAAATTTCCAGTCCAGCCCTGATCAGAACCTCCTATCCAGGCAGAAATGGAGTTCCAGCTGTCCTTTCATCTTTCTAGCTTGGATATTTATGTTTATAGTTTTGTAAAATGCAGTTCTGCGTAAGACAGCTTAAATTCCATCTACCATTCTTGCCAGAACAACCTCTTTATACTGAGATAAATTGTTAAAGTCCTCACCAGTCTAAGGCAAGAAAAGAACTTACTTGTGAGATATTCCTCACCCAAATTCACAATCGCTTGTTTATGGAAATCAGTAACTTGGGGCGCAAGTTATCTATTCTAGAATAAGTCTGCTAGAATCTTCATTACTAGCAGTGGCACGCTCATACACCAAAGAAAGCTGACTTGCTGACCAGTCAATGGTTTTCAAGGCAGTAGGGAACTTTGCCCTTCCACCACAGGAGTGATCACAAAACGGGTGAACAATAATATATATAATTCATATGTAGATGAACTGTTGTGCATATGGACTGCTTTTTGATAAGAATACACCCAATTCCAACAAATTGTATTGATCAGCTGAAGAAGTCCTACGCTTTTTTATTTATTTTAAAAAGCACAAAACTGACTAGTGACAAGAAAGAACTAATCCAACACCAACGGCCAAAAATTGAAATTTTGCATATTCGGACTATCAATAGGACATTGGTGTAATGTTTAATAATTAAATTGGAAAGTTTAATAAAATTAATAGATTTTTCATATTTTTAATAAGGGTACAATTGGGAAACCAAACAAAATTTGTTTTCCATTCCTATTCAAAACAAACATGGGAAATGAAATAAAGTGATATTTCTGGGTTACTTTCTTGGCATTACCAAACATGGGAAATGAACAACCATTTCCCATTTCTTGGAAAATTACATGGGAAATTATTTCCCATCAAATCCATTCCGTGAACCAAATGGGGTCTTTATGTGTACTACCATTGTTTCATATTGCATAATAGCTAGTTGATGAATGAGTATATATATCTCTATAGATCATCTAATAGAGTTTGATTTATATTGTCTACTCATATACGGATTAGATAAATGGAGATGAAAAAATTGGGGGTCCGGTTCTTTTAAGAGTGCAAAAGAGTGAGGTAATTTTGCATCAAAATGATTTCTGCATCTATAAAGTTTGTATACCATGTTGTGTTACCATTTCTTAAAGATTCTATCTAATTTTTCATTTTTTGTCCCAATTCTACACTCTGCTATAAGTGCAACTTGTGACCAGGAAAACCATTGTAACAATCGACAAATTATTAAATTCCCCTTTTGATTTTTCTGATATTAAGAAATTGATTCCATCCTTTTTGAAGGCTAAATGATTTTATTATGATATTTGCTTACGCTTTTGGAAGAGAGACTTTTGTTAATTGGAATCTCCTAATTCCCAGATTTTGCCAAATGTTTAGTAAAACTTAATGATTGCAGCTAATTATATCCCTTATTTAATTTGTTATTGTGGATTTTCAGTTTTTCCAAAATATGATCAATATTTTAAGATGACAAACAACATATAAAACATATTATTAGTCTTTATTTTGTAACTTAAACCTTCAACATCTTGCAGGCACCTTTGTTAGTAAAATAAAAACTTCTTCGACTAAAAAAGTCAAAATGGGGCCGAAAACTGAACCGGGATTATATGTGTTTATTTTTGTGAATGATACTATTCTGAACCAAAACCTAAGTACCATTTGTAATAAAAGTTACACGCGTCACCATACCAGTAGTTTCTGGATGAAATAGCATGTACCTTCCAACATCTAATCACTGGACGAGGTTTAAGTTAAACCCATTTCCCCGTCGCACAGGACCCCCTCCTCCCTCTGCTTTCCTCTCTCCCTTCCCCTCCGCCACCACCACGAAGCCAGAGAACAATTCGTCGCCGGAATCACTAACCTCCTCTCTGAGCTCTCAAAACTTTCTATTCCGACGCCACTGCCAAACAACTTCTCTCTTCTTTGTTAGTCCCGAATTATATATTAGAAGCAAATTTGTTTAAATGGTTTTTATTTGCATCTAATTTTTATTATTATTTATGTTTATGCCTAAGCTTTCCAACTCTGACAAACAGGCGCGGCTCTCTCTCTCTCTCTCTCTAACCTTTGAGTTAGTGGTTCCATGGCATACGATGGAGGCAAACTCAAGTCGACCTCCATCAATGGTGTCAAGATGTACAGCGTTGCTTCCCAGCAACGTTCTCTCGCCACCTGGCTTGACCCTAAGAAGCGTCGAGCGCTTCGCAAAGACCAAAGTATACCCCTCTACTTCTTCTTCTGATTTGATTTTTTTTCCAGTTAGTTAATTTTGTTTTAATGGAGATATCTTTTTTTTATTCTGTTTATGATTTTGTCGACTTTAGAGTTTAGAGAACTTCTTGTACATTTATTGCAGATTTTGAGGACTTTCAGTGAAAACCTAGACGAATATCAATACCTTGATTTTTCTCGTTCTAGGGTGCTAATCATTATGTTGGAATCTGTTAGGATAAATTTCATGCTATAGAGCAGTATAATGCTTGTTTTAATTTTTTCTTTGTAATATTATACGTGCTTTATAGATTGCAGTTGAACAATTAAAAATCATCAGTTTTAATCATTTACATTCTAATTTTATATTGAGAATTGACTCTCCGCTAAATATTCTTATAGAAAGATCATGTGTTAAATAAACTATTATTATTGGTTATGCACGATGGGATTATGTTTGCATACTTCCCGTCAATTTCTCAATAAGGTTTAATTTGCAACCACTTTAAAACCCTGGACGGTGTTCGTGTAAAATTCTGGAAGTGTAGGTTTAAAGTGAAAATCTGCTGAAGCAACCATGTTCACCTGTAGTAGAGGGAGGAATACAATCCTTCGTTGGGCATTTATTTCTCTTATTTCATTCACTCAATGATGTCAGAGTTTTGAACTCCACAAAAAAAATTGAATAAATAAATAAATAAATTTAAGTTTAACACAAATGTGCTTGAGTTCTGAAGCTACTTTCCCAATCAAACTTATTTAAAGGGAAGGCATCATAACATATGATTAATTTCTATGGACTATGATCATTTGAGAATTAGTCAGAGATGGAAATATGTTTTCAAAATCATCTCAAGCTGACACAAAACTTTTTGGCATTAATTTTATCTAATGGGAGATCTTTCTTCATTGTGTGTTTGTCAGATTATATGCAAAGGGTGGACTTGATCCAGGACTTGAGATTTGAAACTGCAACTACTAAAATCAAGGCAACTCCTGATGGGGAGTTCCTAATTGCTGCAGGTGCCTTTAAGCTTTACTCTATGTTGTGTTTTATGTTCACAATAAAAAGGGAATTCTACATAAAATGTCTATTTGTGTGTTGCGTGTGTACGCGTTTGGAGTAAAACATTTGAACTTGTACCAATTGTGATTTTTACTATTGAAATTCAGGTATTTACCCACCACAAGTCAAAGTATATGAGCTGAGGGAACTTTCACTCAAGTTTGAAAGGCACTTGGATTCAGAGATAATTGATTTTGAGGTAGTTTAGTTTCACTCATTTCTGATGTAACATGATATTTGAAATATTTATTCATGGACCGTGGCTGATTTGTGTTCAGCATCTGCCGATTTTTTCAGTTATTTTATTGGTGCAGTGGCTCCTCTCTAAATATTTTTCATGTTTTTGGATTTTCAGTTACAATTATTTATGTACACTCTTGCTTGCAATTGCTTCTTTTTTCTTTTTCACTTACCTTAGCTCGTGCAATTTCAGTTAGTTATTCTTGTAGAGTATGGATGAGAGCATTTCTAAGGAATATAATGAAATCAAAAAAAATGTTTAATAGTTAATAACTTACAAGAGTTTTATTTTATTAAATAGCAAAGAAAATGCAATTGGATTTTTTATTTATTAAGCAACTGAAGAGCACCGCTTGGGCTGAAACCCAACAATTTGATCTTACAAGTGCACCATTTTTTCTCCCTTGGTCATGTATAGTTTCCTTCTGAATGGTACTGTTTTCTCCTTCCGAAGTCCAAAACTTGAATACTCATTCAAGTTTTGTAGGTTGTTTAGAAGTTAAATGCCAATATTATGATTTGGATATCATCGTTTCATGTTCGCTACTTAATGGTACGAATGTCATGCTGTATTCTCAATATGTTCTCATGGAACTTAAAATATTACTGACTCAACTTTTCATTACTCATTCAGGTTTTGGCTGATGATTATTCAAAGCTTGCGTTTTTATGTGCTGATCGCTCTGTTTATCTACATGCAAAATATGGAAAACATTACAGTGTGCGAATTCCAAGGTTACTCTTTATACTTTGCTTATGTCAATGGCTCATGAATGGAAATAGTGTTTAAACCATGTGTTTGCTTTATAAACTTTGAACTCTATGTTTCATTGTGCATTGTGGTTATTCTTTTCTATTTCTGTTTCTTTTGGCTGTTATGTATTATTGGGCTGTTTGGATAGGATATTTGAGGATGTGAGGGGCGATGAGGGGTTTATTTGTTGGAGAGGATTTGTTTTTGGCCATCTCTTTGGGTTTTCGTGTCATCAGAGTTTTGGGAGAGCTTATTTTCTGTTTGTTTTTCCCAGGTTGGAATGCTTTGTTTCTTAATGCCTTCTGTTGTCTTGGATTCATAATCCTATAAAAACAAAGACAAAACAAGAGGGAAAAGCAGATACAGAATGAGTAGCTTTATGCATGTGTGTGTGGATGTATATTAAAGGGGAGTTTGTGTGTGCTTGCCTGTGTGTGTAATTGTATTTTTGAATCCTTCAACATATACACCACAAAATGACAGTGGCCTTTATTGGATCAGTAAAAATATGAAATGATGTTGTTTTCACACGTTTATTATTTAAAAATGGGCCCTCAATAATTCAGAATCTTCTCCCTTTTTGGGTGTCATGTTAGCACCATCTCTATCATTGAATGAGTTGATAGAATCACCAACCCATTAAAGAACTACCAACTCCTTAGAAATGGGGAAAGGTAAATACATAAAATGGAGGGCTCTTTTTTTTTTTCTGAATTTTTTTTTTTTTTTTTTTTTTTTTTTTTTTTTTTTTTTTTTCTTGTTGAGTGAGTATTGTTTTTTTTGGTGACCCTCTCTCTCTAATCAAATCATACTTATTTTTTCCCTTTAATGTTACCCATGTTGAGTTTCATTAAATTGTTTTTAAAAACTATGTGGCACCAATACAGTAATGAATACTTGAGCAACTACATTACTTTAGAACTAAAGTTTAGCACATCTAGCATTTACCAGAGTTGCTTGCTTTTGTTTGAGCCCTCTTTTTCAATGTACGTGAATTAAACTTTTATCCCTACATTTTGGAAATTTATTTCTATTACTTGATAATATAACTTCATAATTTTTTCACAATTAAATTATGTTTATCATTTTAAAAATAATCAAAGATAGTATAATATATGTAATTTAGTTTAATACTTGTATACTGCATGGGTTGTAGCTTGAATAAGTTTCATATGCTTTCTTCAATGAGTTTATTGAACTTGTGTATGCAGAATGGGAAGGGACATTGTGTATGATTGCTGGTCTTGTGACTTGCTTTGTGCTGCCTCTTCCCCAGAATTGTACAGGATTAATCTGGAACAGGTTTTATTGCTTAACTGGACTTTTCTTTTTAATCTGCTTTAATTCATAGGTATGTTGATAATAATTTTGACTTGTTTGCAGGGGCGGTTTCTCTCTTCCCTGAGCACACAATCAACGGCACTAAATGTAGTTTCTCGGAGGTTGCTTGCTGATATTTTTATTTTATTTTATTATTATTATTTTTTAATAACTATTTTAGGTTCTTTGGCTTATTTAGTTATCAGATATATGTAGGACTTTCTTATGTATGGTTATTTTGGTTAATTATCTTAGTGTATCAAGCTTTTCCTTTAAAATTTCAGCAAGCTTCATGGTCTAGTTGCTTGTGGTGGTGAGGATGGTGCTGTGGAGTGTTTTGACTTGAGGGTAAAATCTTCGGTTGGTAGAATTAATGCTGTCGCACCTGCTGGTGACATTGACCAGGTAACAGTCCTTTGATCTATTTGTTTTGAGTAAATATTCATTAATGAAGACAAGGTGAAGTCTAATTGGTTGCCACAATGTAGTTAATTTGCGAGTCGATCACCCTTTGAAGTTCAAATTATTTTCAAATACTACGTTGGTCACCTGTAGGATATGTATGTGTCTATCTAATTGGTTGCCACAATGTAGGTAATTTGCAAATCGATCACCCTTTGAAGTTGAAATTATTTTCGATCACCTGTAGGATTTGTATGTGTCTATTGTGGTTGTCTGGATAATTTGGTCATGATACAAATGCCAATTTTTTCCTACGCTTTTGGAAGAGGTAACTATGGGTATGTTAAGTAGTATGGTTTGACAAGTTTGGGCAGAAATTCACCCCGACCAACCAACCTTGTTGATTAATTGAAACTTACTGTAGAGTTATACTGTATAATACAAAAAAAAAAAAAAAAAAAAAAAAAAAAAAAAAAAAAAAATCCCAACCAATGACCATCGGTTTGAACTGGTTTTGTCTCTCTTTCAGTTTTGTTCTATTTCACCCAGGAAACAGCAGAATTTTTTTTATTCATCACAATTTCAAAAAGACAGTGTCATCAACTTCATTGCTCCATTTTAAATTTAATTCAAAAATAGTTCAAATCCAAGAGAAATTACAGCAGATGCTTTAGACTACATAATCAATGTTTCACTACAAAGCGTTGTTGTGGTAGTTTGACAAAAGCACAGTGAAATGAGGGCCTTATGACCTTCTTAGCATCAGTTTTCGTGTTTCTTTTTTTATATTGTCTCAATTGTTCCTTATCTTTTTTGACAATGGAAATAAAAGAAGGAAGTGGATTGAATGATCCGGCTGGTTCATCAGTTCAGCCACAGATGAATGGCAGGGGAATAAAGTTGTATGCGGGATTCCTGTGAATGATGATCTTTTCTCTTCAATTATTAATCAGACACAATTTTGCTTAATCGGGCTGCCTCCTGGATTTGCAGGAGGTCACTGCATTGGAGTTTGATGAAAAAAACGGGTTTTTTAATGGCTGTTGGAAGCAGTGCAGGGAAGGTATGACGTCATTTTTCTTTTCGCTAGTAAAGGTGTCCTGTAATTTGTGTGTGTATATATATATATATGTATATATATTTGCTTATATAGTTGTGATCTCATTTTAGTTATGTGTGTTATCAGAACTAGGCACCATATTTGTCATTGTCAACCATGCAATATCTGTTGTAGTTTTCGTCAAATTTGATTTTCGATTTTAGAGAATTCTTTTAGATTATACACTTGATAGGTACCGTGTATCTGTATATGCATACTGCATGCATAGATTATACACTTAACAAGCATAAAAATATTTGAGACAGCCACTTGTTTTCCATGACGAATACAGAGAGGGTTATAATTTGATATACTTGACAGGCTCAATTAATCTAGTGGCTCCTGGAAGAGTGACAAGTACTTTTTGAAGTGAAAAACCGACGTGCCAGCCAACTTGGGAGCTAATCAAAACTGTTTGTCAAATTATCAAGAATTTTGCATAGACTTTTCTCTTATTAAGAAGTCATGTGAATTGTCTTCTTTATGTCTACGAGGGGGGAATTTTAATTGTCGTATTTAGGCCCCACGGTTACTTGCACCTTGGTGCATTATAGGAAATTGTTCTATTTTTCAGAAAGTGCATTGTCTCTTATCCAAATAGAGATGGTCTTAACGTGGTGCGGGATGATTTTCCCTTGGCTACAATGTTATTAATGAAGGTGTGTTGTTTTGTGGTTTTTCTGTTTTGTTCCTCCCTGTTAGTTTGGGAGGTGTTGGTGCTGTTTGTTTGTTTCTGTTTTGTTTTTTGTTCTTCGGTTGTGGATGTGTTTCTTTTGCTTAATAAATTTCGTTTCTTCTATAAAAAAAACAATGTTATTAATGAAGGTGGAAAAAAGGTTTTGTAAGATATCTGATATTAAAATAAGGTAATCAAGATAAGAGATAACTGGGATCAAACATCAGGTAGGTGGGGATTTACATGGTAAATTTGGTTATGCAGTGGATTACAGGTTTATGGTCTTTTTGTGGAGATTACTGAATGCCTTGTTGGAGGATGTGGTGATAAAAAAAAACCATTTGGGGGTATAGTGTCACTAACTTATAACTGAAGAAAAGGTAGAGGGATGAACACTAGGATATATGGATCTCTTTGGCCAATAATATTATGTTGTGAGTGGAGGCTAAACAGAGCAGATTCAAGGGCTTGGAGATTGAACCGACAGGGAATTTCTCTTGCAAATCTTTTCGTAGATATCTTTGTTGGGAGTGAGTCTCGTTTTGTGTTCCTGGGTTATAATGGTCATTTACTGTTATTAACATGTTACATGTATAATTGTAATTGTATCCGTATTCTAGTTCTTCGAGAGCTGCCGTATCACCGTATCATATTGTATTGTGAATCCTGTACTCGTATCCGTGCAATATAGGCTGGCAGGCACCATCCCTCAGTTGTAGTCTAGCCTCTATCAAGAATATGTCAGAGCAGTGCCCAATATTTCTCATAGAATGTAGCTCTGTCAATTTACATCGTGTCATTGACCTTGCAGGTACTCGTCTATGACTTGCGTTCATCGCATCCTATACAGGTTAAGGATCACATGTGAGTTTACTTCCTTATAACTTACATGTGAGTTTACTTCCTTATAACTTACATGTGAGTTTACTTATTATGTGGATTTTTCTGGTTCAGCACAATGAGGGAGTCTGTTTTTCCTTTTATAACTTACTGGTTGTTGAGAATACTGTCATTGGTTTATAGGTATGGCAGCCCGATATTAGACATTAAGTGGCATCAAACTCTTAATTCTGAGGCGCCAAAGTTAATGACCACTGATAATCACATTGTTAGAATATGGGACCCTGACACAGTAAGACATTATATTTGAGAAGACTTTTTTTTTGTCCCTTTTTTTGGGATCTTTGATGATGGATATTAGAATTCTGTATTATAAGTAAATAATTTTTCCATTTTTTGCAGGGTGAAGGCATGACCAGCATTGAGCCAACTGCTGGAACAATTAATGATATATGTGCATTTCCTAGGAGTGGATTGATGTTGCTGGCTCTAGACTGCAGTCAGATTCCATCTTATTTTATTCCTGAACTTGGACCTGCACCCAGTTGGTGTTCGTACCTGCAAAACCTTACTGTGGGTTTTCAGATATTATTTACTTCTTTCGTATATGGATTTAGTTTCATCTCGTGTGGGGTCTTCAGTTATAGTGCTAATATTTGAGTTCGTTCCACAGGAAGAGCTAGAGGAGGGTGGACAGACGACCATCTATGATGATTTCAAATTTTTGACAAAAGAAGACCTTGAGAGGTTGAAGTTGACTGGTCTCATCGGAACCAATCTCCTCAGAGCTTACATGCATGGGTTTTTTATTGATTATCAGTTGTATAAAAAGGTTAGGCTGCCTTCCTATGTATGTATGATTATTTTATGAAGGGTGCACGGGAAGCAAAATAATCTGTATCATCCACTTTGTATGTTGCCCCCCCTTTTGTCTTTCATTAGAGTGAAGTAAATCTTGGGACATATTTGGAAAACATGAGACAGATTAGAATAGTTGGATTTGTTTCAGGGAACTGAGAATAATAATCTGTATTAGGCTTTTACCTTTATTTTATAATTACTTTTCTCTCACCCCTTCACAACTCTTTATCTGTTTGTATTCTTTTGTGGAATTTTTTTGTTGGTGATAATTATTCTTTTGAAATGCTTGTTTTTGGCTGTTTTAGGATTTAGTGAGTTCTTGGGTGTGTTTTTTAAGTTGTCTGTCTTGAAAGATGCATATTGTCATAGTCAAAGCTAATGTTTTCCATGCTCGAGTCGGGTATTTGTTTTATTGCTTCTGGTCATTATACAAAGTAAGTTTACTGCTTTATTTCATAGCATATACATTCTGGCAGGCAAAAGCTTTGGCAGAGCCTTTTGATTATGCTGAATACAGAGAACAACAGAAACGAGAGATGCTAGAGAAAGAACTTGCAGGAGAGCGAATTACGGTTAGTTATTTTCATCCACAATTATTTAGAATTTATTTATTTGTTCAATTACTCTGCATTGGTCACTATGTACAGCTCGTAAGAAATTTTTCTCTTATGACCGGGGCAATTGCAATAAAGTGCATGAGGATTGTGAGCCTGCATGTTCAAGTTTCCTCAATTCTCCATATTATTTGCATATGCGTATATGTATATATTTCTTTATTTTGAGGTGAGGTGGTTTTCGAATAATTGTTGGAAAACTTGGTATTCTCTTCAAAGTCGTTTGACTAGGCGTGAGTTGAGTTCTGCCACTTTCACCCAATACATTATAAATATATCTTCTCTCTTTTTTACTCGATCTTAACATCCACAACTCTATAACACACTTAATGAAAAATACTCTATGCACCATATATATTGAGATGTATATATGTAGTTATTATCTCTTTACTGTTCAACCAGTGCAACCTTTGACCCTTATCCTCTCTCTTTTTCAGTTTTATTTTTGGTTCAGTTTCCAGAAAATTTGAAATTACAACTCTTTTAATTGTTAACTCTAGTTATCCCCGGAGCATCTAAGATGTCTCTGAATACTTTTTAATCCAAATTAATCCCTAAGTTTTTTCATGTACAAAATTTTAAAGATACACATAGGGCATACTCCTTTGCTCTGAGGTGCTCTAAATTTTTCATAGAACTGACCCTTTTGTATTTCAATGCAATATAAGTAGGATTCAACTGTTAAATTTTGGGGTTTTCAAATCTCCTTTAGTAGATTGTAGGTTGTAGAGTGAATTATATCGCTATGGACTTTAGTTTGTAGTATATGTCAGATTATCTACTTAACAATGATACCTGTATCCCTTGTATGTTTTACTTTTGTTTGCTGCAGATTAAGAGGAAATTGCCCAAGGTCAATCGAACTCTTGCAAAGAGTATTCTTGATAATGAAGATGCAGAGAATGAAATTAAAGGTGCTGATAGCAATGAGACTAAGAAGCCATCAAAGAAAAAGAAGGCACTTGGTAGTGAAATTCTCAAAGATGAGCGATTCGGAAATATGTTTGAAAATAAGGTATGAAAATCTGAACCTTTGGCTCCTGTAAGAGAAGGGTGACAATTTAACCCAAAAATATGTTCACGTAGTTCACCATACTTTTCTATAAATTTTGAATCCAAAAAAATAAAAATAACGTAATAATTCTTCATCCCTCTCCTCCCCTCCCCCTTCCACCTCCTTTGCCTCCCTTTCCTACCCTCTGTCTCCTTCTCCTGGTTATGGCCAGTCATCTCCATCCCACACCTATCCTTGTTCCCAGGACTTTCATGTTCTTGTGTTTTTTAAGAAGATTCTAAGGGTCTCGAAACTGTTAAGAATTGATGGAACCTGTCATCCTTTCTGGTTGTTGAATGGGTCACCCATCAGTGGACTGATTCATTCTGTTTGTACCTCGCCATGTGTTCTTCCCATCCCTTCCAATGTTTTCAGTGGCAATGGTGGATGTGTGCCATTTTGTTACCTCACAAGCCGAGTAAACCTCAAGTCATTAATGCGTAACCCGTTTGACACTTGAATTATTGTGGAATATATTTAACAAATATAATATAAGCATACAACTGCTCAAGTGCGGACTGTGCAAAAATGCATTGGCTGACTTGCTGGTCAATTGGCAACCAACCACATTTTTTGTGAGGATATTTGAGTCAGAGATTCCTCATTATGCCATTTCCCCCAGTTTTGGTCGGTTTTGTCTCATAATGCATTTTGTCTAGTTCCCTTCATAGCTGATATGGATGGCTAAAATACTTGTGAGCCCGACAATGGTAAAAGGGCTTGCATCTGTCTCTTATTTGCTATTGGTGCAACATGTGCAAAGGCGCAAGCAAAGTATTGATCACAATTTTTCCTTCCAAGTTCTATGCGTTGAGACTGTTATATAAGCTCTTTAGGTAGTTAGATTAAGCTGGGTAGTTCCTCTTCTTGTGACCATTCATGGAGAGGTTTTTGCGCTTTTGGTGGAGGGAAGAACACAAAGGTTTTGTAGTGTTTAAAACGAATTGTGTTGGGTTTTTCGGTTGGGAAGGAACAGTTAAATTTTCAATAGTAAAGAAGGGGATGCAGTGGACTACTTCTATGGGACTATGGCCTGATTGTGGGACTGACTTTATGCTTCCTCGTCTTTTGAAGTGAGACTATAATTCTTCCTTCTGAATTTGGATTAGGAAGCAGCTCTCTTACGACTTTGTGTTTGGTTGTCTTGCATTATGGCTTGCTTTGCTGGCTGGTTGTTTTGCTGGTTAGCTCATTGTTTTTCAGGCTTCCGCTGCTTGCACTGTTTTAGTTTAGTGGACTGCGGGATCATTTTCTGTATTAGCTCCATTTCTGTTTATAACATCTTATCAATTTCCTACAAAATGAAAATAAATATACAAATAATGAGAAGTCAGGGCCAAATCGTGTACTACATATTCTTTTCTTTTCTTTTTTTGTTAAACAATTTTTTTTAATTTTTTATAATGCATTCGTTTTTGTAATTTGTGTTCAGGATTATCAAATTGATGAGCTCTCGCAAGAGTATGTGGCTTTACACCCTATGCCTTCTAAGAAGCAACCATCGTTGGTGGAGGAACATTTCAAACCTGCCATGGAGGATGAAGATCAGAACTTAAGTGATTCTGATGCCTCCGCATCATCTTTGTCATCAGAGGATGAACCTGGCCATGAAAAGAGTAAAATGAAAAAGAAAGGACGAACTCCAAGGTGAAGATTTCTGGTTCCTTCATAGACACTTGTTCTCCTGTTTATTTATTTGTTACATTGCATCCATGTCCCTGAGTTTCATGGAAGTTCAGGGATCTCCCGCTTATGTTTAGAAGTTATACTATCCTGTCCCGTCTAAGGATATTTCACAATACATGTTAGCTAGCATTGGGGGAGATTTCATTTCAAGAGTGGGTTTCAATCATGCTTTTGGGGTAGAAATATCAGTTGATCTGTATAAGTTTTCCAAGTGTCTATGACAACAAGATTGAAATTATTGGTTTGCCTGATAAACATTTTGAGTTCAGTTACGAATGGAGGAGTCTAAAAGACAAAACATGTGAACATAGGACGATACAGAACTGTATCAAAGAAAATTGTATTCTCTATGAGAGGTCAGTATAATTCCCGAAAATAGAATATTGAAAACATAAGTGATGTCTGGGCATTTTGAATAAAATCTTAGAAGGTTAGCATAATTTTTTTCTTTTTTTCTTTTTTTAACAAGAGCGAACCATCATCCAGTTTAATGGATTTGGGTCCCTCGAGGAAGGTGCATAATTCACTCTGATCAATAATTGGATCTGTCAGACATGAGCAACTTTTGCTAGATTTGGTGATTTTAACCCAAACCTGATTTGTCTATTTTCTTTCCCGTGAACTATTGCAATGTAATTCTGTGTATTTATTATGTATGGAGTTTTGATTTGAATCTTGAAATGTCCGTTGGAGGTTAAAACTCTAAATCTGAGTTACTAAATATCTGTTTCCTGAAATTCTGTTAGATTGTATGAAGTGAAGGATGAGCGGCATGCAGAAGCATTCTTAAATCATGAGTCATTTGCAAAGGAGGAATTACTTCCATTGGGTGAGAGGGTAGCAGCTCTCAGAGATGATCGGCGGGTTTCTGCTATCCCAAGTGATGTTAAGCTGGGACCCGGAGGTTCACGTGAGATTTCCTTTAGAGCTAGAAGCTCAGCCAAGTACAAAGAGGACGAGGAGGATGGAGAAGCACAGCGTGGAAAGAGGAGGGGAGTTCAATCATTGGGACTAAAACCAAATAGTAACGGATTTGGAAGTCGAGGGAGAGGAGGCAGGGGAGGTAGAGGAGGCAGAGGAGGAGGGAGAGGCGGCCGAGGGAGAGGAGGGCATCGCGGGAGAGGTAGAAGTGGTGGGTGGTAAATTATTTCCAATTTGTTTATCAATTTGTGTACGCATGCACCATGTTGTCGTTCTTTAACCAGCCTTTATACAGAGTGACGGTCTCATTTTGCTGCTGATATAGTAAATCAAGGGTAGGGAAATCTCCAATGAGGTACAACAGAGGAAATGAAGCTGTATATTGGAATTATTGTACTTATGTTATCAACTTAACGTACTCAAAATAGTATAAACTGGTAGAAGTTAGACAGAACTTGGAATTGGGTCGTAGTTCTATTCTATATATCATTTCTACAATACTTGGGAGTTTTGCAACTATGACTATCAGACTCGATGCACCAAGGCGCGGCCATACTTTTTGTTTAGCAAGCGGCCGCATTCTCCAGGTGGAGGAAGTTATCAGGAGGATGAGCTTAAAGCAACTTCTATATTTTGAAATTCCAAACCCTCCCCACCCGAAAGCGCATGTGAATTTTTGTAGATCTTTATTTATTAGGTCTGTCGTAGCAAGTGTGCAATATGCACTGTACATGTTATTTATTATTTTGTTGTATTGGGTGTGTCGGTGTGCTATTAAGGCTAGTTTAGGATTTTCCTATGTAGCATCATGAACTATAAGCTGCGAGTATGGAGCTTTGATCTGGAAAATGTCACAAGACCTTGGGAAATTGCATAGGCTGCCATGTAGAAATGTTGACAACACGTATAGATGTGTAAGCAACTGCTATTGAAGATTGATCCAAAATAGACTTCCACAGTTTTCAATTCCTTTTCAGCTTTCAGAGATCCTATTGAGCCGCGAACGCAATTAGAATTAGCAACTAGAAGCTTCGATTGGTTCTTTTTTGACCCCTGGGTTTGACCAATGAATACCTTTTGTATTAATTTCCCAATAGATTGTATTTATTATTATTCAATTACACCGTTGAATTTGTCCAAATATTTTCATGGTTGAATTGAATCAAAGGGTTTGGAGGAGTCTTAGGCCAACGCATTTGGATCAAAGGAGGCTGCGGTTGGTTTTGAGAGGTTGGGTGCTACATAACCATCTAAACTTGTTGCAACTCAGCCTCAGGCCCATTGTGTTGATTGAACGAGTCACTTTCTAATTGGTTGCCTGTAGTGCTGTAAAGTTCATGTAAAACACTAACCGACCTTATTGAAAATCACAGGGAACCATCACATTCTCCTTTTTGAACTGCAATGCCAATACTTTCCTTTGTAGTAATTTTTTGTTGAAAGATATTGATAATCTCCGTCCATTACCAATTGGTATTTTATTAAATGTCTTCATTCTAATGCGTACGGTGACAATGAGTACTAATTAGGAAATGAAGTGATTCCGTGACAAATGGTAAATAACATATGATTTAGATATTTGATTCTCGGACTCTAGATTGTGCTTTACTAAGGAGGAGGGCCTCAAGCCTCATTTTGCCTTTAGATGTGCCACTCATTTGAATTGCAACCATTCGTGGTTTGCTATATACTTGTCATGACTTATTGAATAACATTAGATGACAAATTATAAAGTTTGAAAGTTTATCTCAAGCAAAGGACACATACCTCAAAACAACAAAAATTCTAAAATGACTCACAAGCCTAAATAGTGAAAATTACCACCACCACCACCACTTGAAGCAATGCCACCAATTATTGTGAAATATTGGACGGATATGAGGAAATTATGATATCCAACAATTCAATTTCGCATGATAGTAAATAGATGCCCTTATTTGACGAAAATGACCAAAATCACTTGAGTAGATAACAGCAAAATCCACTAAAAAACATGTAGTACTAAATTGAGGGAAAGGTAGAATTTGGAGGGAGCGTTTTGAGAGAGAGATTGGATTGAAAGAGAAGAAAGATGGTTGTGGAGTAGAAAAAGATGTTAAAAGGAGCGGGGAGTGCGGCTAGAGTTTGTTTTTGCTCTCTCTTGGATGTGTTGATTTTTTTTTTGGGTCGAATTGGATGTGTTATTTTTGAATATTTTAGTACATGTATAAATAAACAAAAAAATAGAATATTTTAGCATTCATACAAGCCTCAATTATATTTTTAATCAATATATATATTCCAACAACAAAAAAAATCAATATATATGTTTTCTTTTTAAATTTATTGCAGGGAGTAAACTTCTGGTAGAACATGAAGACATTTTAAACTTAAATACCGCTCCTTCTTTAAAATGTCCTATAATAGCATGAAGATAAAATTATAAGGATAAAGAAAATAAAAGAAGAATAATAACTAAAGCACATTTTTCGTATTCACCAACTGTTGAACATTGAGATATGAATTCATGACCAATTAGCTTTTAGTTTAATTGTAATTCTCTTCGTGATGCGAAAGAAATTCAAAGTTCGAATTTTATCTCTCTTATTGATAAAATAAATAAAATAAAAGTATGAAATAACTTGTTTACTTACTAGAAATGGGTACAAGAAAAAAAAATCCTAAGTTCCCTCATGTTTATTGATAAAAAAAAAGAGAAAAAAAAAAGAGAGGGTTACACAGTTTAATTTATAATCCAATAGTACCCTCAAAACCATGAATTGAATCTATTAGGGGAGTTGTTAATCCAATTCTAATTTTTTTTATTTCCCTATTTCTAAGTTCCCCACCTAGTTCAAAGTAAGTATCAAGTGAAACTAATGACACTAGACTAAATTATTAGTGGCAGAGCACACGTTGAAAGACATTCAAAATTCGAATTATCCTTTTTCTCGTTGATACTAGACTGATGATACTAAACTGAATTATTATTGGAAGATCACACCCTTTTATTTATTCAACATATGTTGTATGTGATTCGAACTCTCTCTTATAAAAAAGTGAAGATTCACACGGTGATTAGTAATTGAGCAATTTTTTTTTATCTGATCAAACACATTATGCATGATGTGCTACAACATAAATACAAATCACCTTATAATCTGATCACAAAATATGACACAGCTACTAGTCCTACTATCAAAAGAGAAGGCTTAAAATTTGAGGTAAAAAACTTGACCCAAAAGTTTTTGAGGGAAAAAAAAACAACATAGAGAAAATAGTGGAGCAAAATCATTAGAGAGAGAGAGAGAGAGAGAGAGAGAGAGAGAGGGTTTAAAATTGAAATTGAAAGCGAACCGGAACGGAACCCAGCTAAAAACTTAAAACATTTAAGATTCAAAATAAAAGAAAGAGAGAGAGAGAATGGCGAGAAGAGTATGAGATTTCAAAACGCAAGAGAGAGAAAGTGGGAAGAAATAGATAGAGACTCTAGAGAGAGAGAGAGAGACAGAGCTTCTCCCACATTTCCTCTTTCCTTAAATTTCTTCTGTTTCGCTCGACATCTCTGAATCTCTGAATCTCTGAATCTCGAATTCTAATTCCTTCTAGCTAGAAGACAACCAGAGAGAGAGAAAAAAACAAAGGGAGATCGTTTTCATTTCCAATTTCTAGGGTTTCAATCAGATCCATCGCTCTCTCCCTCAGATCTTTGATCCTCAATCCTCTGCTGCGATGGAGGCGATCGAGGAGTTGTTGCAACTATCAGACTCGATGCGCCAAGGCGCGGCTGTACTTGCCGACGAAGATGTTGACGAAAACTCAAGCTCCTCCCGCAGGGCTTCCAGTTTCCTTAACGTCGTCGCTCTCGGCAATGTTGTAAGTCAACCAATCTCCTTTTGGATTCGATTCGTTGGAATTTGATCTCTTCGATTCCACTTGCTCTGTTTCCAATCAGCGATCTTTAAATCTGTGCTTTGGGTTTGGACCTTAATCGATGTTTCTTATTTGATTTGGGTTTTTGTGAACACCCTGTTTGTTTGTGTCGAGAACTGAGGACTAAGGCAAACATAGCTCACAAAAGACAAGATATTGAATCTGAAATCCGAACTCTTAATGAGTTTGATTTGATTTGGGCTATAAATGAGGAAAATGATCACCAGACACAATAATGGTTTAAACGCCTTGGGCTGTTCTTGGCGATCTGCAATGGTCCACCTTACTGTGCCACCCTGAATTAACTGAAAAAAGTTACATTCAACAGTTTTCACTGCTGCTATTGCTGTAGTTTCCTTGTAAATAGGAAATAAAGGATCTATCTCTTGACTTGTTCTCTTGCTGTGCATATAGTGTTCTTTTTGTGCGTGTCTGGATATGTGCATTTGTTGGTGCATTCTGCGTGTGTGTCTGTCTATATATGTTTTTATCCATGGAATCACTCTTACCTTGTAGCTTCAGGAATTCTAGAGTTCAGTAGCTATCTATTCTCATAATCGTTGCAAAACATTAAATATATATGGCATCATTTCTTATGTTTGGGATTACTCTTGTACCTATCCATACTGGCCTCACTGTCTGGAGATCCTGATATATGCCTTCTGTTTTTTCCTGATGGTTGTTATTGTCAGGGTGCTGGTAAATCAGCTGTTTTGAACAGTTTAATTGGACACCCCGTTTTGGTAAGTAGTACAAGGTTTGTGTTGTTTGTGACCAAATAAAAGCTCTATTTTTATTCTAAGGTTAATTTCCTCTTCTCCTTCCAGCCAACTGGTGAAAATGGTGCTACTCGGGCTCCCATTAGCATTGATCTGCAGAGAGATGCTTCTTTGAGCAGCAAATCTATTATATGCAGATCGACAATAAATCTCAGCAAGTTTCTGCAAGTTAGTAATTGCATTTTTGCATTCTCTCATTAGTTCAAGTTATTGGTTCACTGTTGCTTTTGTTCAGATGTCTTTGGTCAACATTAGGAATCCCCGTTGAGAGCTTTATAGTTTTTGAATGACCTTTAACATATGCTGGGTGTATACCCAGTTGAAGCCAATGTGACTTACAACCCCTTACAAGATAGCGTAGAGAAATACTATGATGTTTTGAATACTTGATGTATGGTAACCTTGCTAAGCTCATTCTTATTGTGTCAGTTTTGAAACTCTAATATGATTGATGTTGTTCTGCAGGTGCTTTACGGCATTCTCTGCAAGGTAGGCTGAGTAATGCCACAGGCAAAAGTCGAGATGAAATTAATTTGAAACTACGGACAAGTACAGGTTAGTTCATATTGTTAGCTAGCTTCCAGTCTCTTCACTCATTAATTAATGTTAAGTGGTTGATTGAAATTTTATTTCTACTAACATGATTTTTATTGCAGCCCCACCTCTAAAGTTGATTGATTTACCTGGGCTTGATCAACGAATCATGGATGAGTCAATGGTAAGTGACTGTTTGCAGTTCTAGACTGTTAGTATTTCAAGGGATATGTGGTAGGATATGTTTGATGTCTCAGTGGCACTGCTACTCCCTTTACTAAAGTTTAACCTGGTAATCTTTAGCAAGAAAGTTCATTTTTCCTTTTGTAGATTAGCGAATATGCTGAGCACAATGATTCAATTTTGCTCGTTATTATACCTGCATCTCAAGCACCTGAAGTTGCTTCATCTCGAGCCCTCAGAGTTGTCAAAGAATACGATGGAGATGGTAAAAACATTGCTATTTAGTTTGTAAGACCTTTTTTCCCTACTCGAGGGAGTGGGTTGCTGAAATGTTCACTTTATTCTTTGTTCTCTAATTACGTTCACCTTAATGCACCCCCCTCTAATATCCTTCCTTTTTTTTCCCCATATTTTACTACATTGTTATTGTTTTAGTTGTTAGAGCAACTGAAAAGACAATCAAATATTGATTACAGGTACCAGAACTGTTGGTGTAATTAGTAAAATAGACCAAGCTTCTTCAGATCAGAAAGCACTTTCTGCAGTCCAGGCTCTTCTGTTAAATCAGGGGCCATCAAGAGCATCTGATATTCCATGGGTTGCTTTAATTGGCCAATCAGTTTCAATAGCTTCTGCACAGTCTGGAGGTTCTGAGAGTTCACTAGAAACTGCGTGGAGGGCTGAAAGTGAAAGTCTGAAGTCCATTTTGACTGGAGCCCCTCAAAGTAAGCTAGGTAGAGTAGCATTAGTGGATGCTCTGGCGCAGCAGATTCGAAGTCGTATGAAAGTCCGGCTTCCAAACCTCCTTACTGGGTAATGTTTCCTGGATTCTATATATCTTTTTTATTATATTGTGTGCGTTTTCTAAGTCATTCATATTATTCGAAGCACACGTCTTTAGGCTATGCTTAGTGCTGTGTTACAAAATGGTTATTGGTTTCCAAACCAGACAATGAGTAAAATGTAATGGTTGCCTTGGTATCTGAGCTTGGATCCTAGCCTCCACAAAGAAAAAACCCTAGCCTCCATCAAAAAGAAGAAAAACCTAGCCTCACCCACTCCCTTCAGTCTGCCTCCTATGGAGGTGGGCCTAGTCATGGCCACGTCTTGGATTTTTTTGGCTGCTGTTTGGTCAGGGTTATTTTCTTGTTGGTAGCTTGTATATTCTTTTGGCTTTATTCTGGAGTTTTGGGTCCACTTTCTGCTGATCTAGTCCATCCTAGATGAGTTTTTGGTTTCTGGTTTTGGAGGGACTTTTTCCTGGTACCTTTACTAATTGTGACACAAAATTGTCAAAAGATTTAGTTTATATTGTTAATCCTATGATTTTTCATTTCTAAGTGCTGTTCACAGCTCACTTGGCCATTCCAGTTGCATTGGCCTAATAAAATTAACTTAATCAATACTTAAGATATTTGTAATTGTAAGTATCAGCTTAGGACTTGGAAAGTTTCTGATTGAACAGCAATGTAGTTTAATTTACACCCCCTGCTTCAACTATGGTATTAATTTTTATTTTTTTTCCAAGTTAATTGGTTAGTTTCAATTCAACTTATACTTTTGTGTTTTCCAGGTTACAAGGCAAGTCTCAAGTAGTTCAGGATGAGTTGGTAAAGCTTGGTGCGTCAATGGTGCAGAGTGCCGAGGGTACCAGATCTCTAGCTTTGGAACTTTGCCGTGAATTTGAGGAAAAGTTTCTCCAACACATTACATCTGGTGAGGTGAGTTCTTTTTGTTAAATGGCCATTTTTGTGTTCTAAGTATATTTTGTTGTATATTACTTTTTATTTCCTTCAAAATATTGGTAAATACAAATACAATATTTTGAATAGTTCATATAAGAAAGGTAGAAAAGTGGCAAAAAGATACAATCCCTCCCAAAACCATATCCCTCTTAAAGTGGACGTATGTTTATTTTAAAATGCTGTAAAGTACTAAGCCCTCTTTTTTAATTTTAATTTTTTAATCAAGAAGTTTGTCCAATCATTGTCTGACAATGAGGCAACCTTTAAGGTAGGTCTTAAATCTCATTATTTTACTCCTTGTCTTGGGTTTTTAGATGCAGTCCATATTGTAGTAATAGAAGAGTCGTTCTGAAATATCTAATGTATTAAACTTAGCAATCATTCAATTTATACAATGTCTCACTAGAAGCCTTACTAAGGTTAATATGTTGTTCCGCTGCTCTGTTTCTATCAGCTGCTCATCCTATTTTTTTGTCCATTATTATGGATCATAGTTTCCATTAGCTTCAATTTTATCTTATAGTTAAAATGGCCCCTTTGTTATTACTTTATGTGGTTTCTCAGATTTCTTCACGATATTGAGAATAATTGGATCTATTTTGGGTATTTAGTACCATTTCGTTTCCTACAATGAGATGGGATGTTTCAGGTTTAGGTAATTTCATGGAGTTACTTGAATTTTTGCTCATATGGTTTTATAAATTACTTTGCAGGGTTCTGGATGGAAAATTGTTGCCAGTTTTGAAGGAAACTTTCCAAATAGAATAAAACAACTTCCATTAGACCGACATTTTGATATCAATAATGTGAAGAGGGTATGTTTTGTCTTTGCTTTGTTTCTCTTTCACTCTGGTTTAAAAATTCTTTTAACTTCTCATGACTTCTTTCTATCATTTTCTATCAGATTGTGTTGGAAGCGGATGGCTATCAGCCATATCTCATATCCCCTGAAAAGGGTTTGAGATCTCTAATAAAAGGTGTTTTAGAGCTTGCAAAAGAGCCATCGCGTCTTTGCGTGGATGAGGTAAACCTAGCCATGTCTTGTTCTGCTTTTGCACAAGTCTGAATTTCTTGTCTTGCTGTTTTCAAGTGTGCAGAAAGCTATCGTGTAGTCTTCACTTTCGTTTTTTCCTCCTCTTTATTATGTTTGAGTTTAGTGCGGAATAATAATTATAAATAGGATTTTCTCTGGCTGGAAAAATTGAAATCTCTGACTTTGATCTATTTATGAGTCTTAGACTGCATTTTCAGTTGTGTTGTAGGTCTACATTGCCTTGGGTTTCTTCCGATATCAAAATAATAATTGTTGAATAATATAAGTCCCACATCGGAAACTAGACTAAATAAAATAAAATATATATTGAATGGTTCCACTACTAATATCATCGAGGCCTTTTATGATAAAACTCCACACTAACTAGGCTTTGTAGGTGGTTAAGTTGGGGACAATCTCGGTGTTTCTAGTAGTGGGTCATTGACCCATCTCTTTGAAATTGAACATGGTATCAGAGCCAGGTTGATTGACTTTGCCTAAATTGGGCCTTTATCCTTACCCAATATGTGGTGTTCACATGTTGGACTTGAATGTTTACCCCTACCCCTTATCCTATGTGCTGGTCTCATGTGAGGGGGCGTATTGAAGAATATAAGTCCCACATTGGAAACCAGACTAAATAAAATTAAATATATATTGAATGGTTCCACTACTAATATCATTGAGGCCTTTTGTGATAAAACCCCACACCTACTGGGTTTTGTAGGTGGTTAAGTTGGGGACAATTTCGGTGTTGTTAGTAGTGGGCCATTGACCCGTCTCTCCGAAATTTAACAATAATGTGGACTCATCTCTTTTGAATTTTATTATTTGATATGAATGAGTGGTCTTGGAGGGCATTACCTACAATTAAATTCATCCCTTCACTGCTGTGCAATCGTAGCATGGACAATTGTATGAGTAAATATTGACAAGCAAATCTTGGCTGATTGATTAAATAGGTACACCGTGTCCTGGTCGATATAGTTTCTGCTGCTGCAAATGCTACACCAGGTCTTGGAAGATACCCTCCTTTCAAGAGGGAGGTATGATAACTGAAATATTGTCCGGTTCTTTTTCGTTTTTAGCTCTTTGCTTCCTATAATTTTTCACAATGCTTAATCCAATGAATAGATTCTGTATGGGTTAACTTTTTTTCCTTCAATTTATTTCAAGGTTGTGGCCATTGCAAGTGCTGCGTTGGATGCATTTAAAAATGAAGCTAAGAAAATGGTGGTTGCACTGGTAGATATGGAGCGTGCTTTTGTGCCTCCCCAACACTTCATTCGCTTGGTGCAAAGGAGGTAGTTTCTATTTTTTTGGTTGATCAGTGACGCATAATGCCCATTAAGGTTCCAGGCGCAAACTGTTTAAGCTTCTGTACATATTGGACATCATGCAGTATTGCTGAAATCAATTCCTTTTGCATGTTGAGATGGAAGGAGCTTAATTAGCTACACTATTGTCATATAACTTAAGTGTGCGTGCACACACATGTTCTTGCACACATCATGTCCACATGGACTTTTTTTATTAAATGTTTTGTTTTTGAGTCGGTATTCTGATGTATGTATGCAGCTTGTTATACGATCTATTGATTCTTGGTCTATTACAGGATGGAGAGGCAGAGAAGAGAGGAGGAAGTGAAAAATCGATCCTCAAAGAAAGGACAAGAGGCGGAGCAAGCAATAATGAACCGGGTAAGGGACTGACTCTTTGTAGTTATGTAAACTGCGATTAATGAAATTGAATATACTCTGAAGTGGGCAAATGAATTTATTTTACATATAAAGTGCTGATTTTATTGTCTCTTAATTATTTAAGGTGCTTGTTCATGATTGTTCTTTATCTTCTGTTTTTAGGCGACTAGTCCTCAAACAGGGGGTGAGCAAGCTGGTGGAAGCTTGAAATCATTGAAGGATAAGGATAAATCTGGTAAGGACAGCAAAGAAGTACAGGAGGCATCTGGTTTGAAGACTGCAGGTCCGGAAGGAGAAATAACAGCAGGTTTGTATGCAACTTTTTGCACAGTATGACTGCTAGGAACGGGGATAGATCATACATCTGATATACTGAACTTCTTGTTTTGTGAAACTGATGCTTGTTGTATAAATATGTTTGAGAAACAGTAGGCCCTGCTGGTGACCTGTTTTTCTGAAGAAAAAAATTGAGTTTTCCTGACTGAAAACGCCTTTAGTGGTATTTTATAAAGATATATCTCATTTTTATTTTGCTAAGTACTTATTATAGGAGGTTGCGTGAAACATTTTTTTAAAGCTTAGAATTACCTGCGACAAGGTTCTCTGGAGTCAATTGTCTTTTTTTTATGCATGTCGGAAGTGCATTGTTCTCAAATTAGCATCCTTGATCATTATTTGGCAGTTAGCAGATCATTCCTTCACATTTTTTAAAATGCTTGTGTAAATTTTTGCAACAGTGTCAAACCATACATACCAGTCACAGAAACTGATCACCTTGGTCAGGAAATGTGGAAACAAACATGCCAGGTCTTGTATGCTCTAGTTCAATCCCTCCCTTCCCAATTCGTAACTAATAAAAATGATGATAGTAACTGTGGGAACTGTGAGCGATTGAAAGCATCTGTACTTCAAAAAAACTGTGTCATTAATCAGGGAAAAGTGGAAATGTATTATCTTGGGGATATATTGGTCTAATTTTTCTTCATTATATGATATAATGTGAATTCTTGAAAGCACCTGTACTAAGCTAGTCTTATTGTAGCTGACTGCACTTTTCTATTAAAGTAGTAAATGGCCAACTTTAAATTCAAAATCCATCTTGTGTTGGTTTTCTATGGGCAATGGGATTTGCTTAACCATTTAGATCTCTAAAGTTTTATAAATTGCACGTATTAATTTTAAAGTTTCAAATATTTGCAGGTTTCTTGTATAAAAAAAGTGCCAAGACTAATGGGTGGAGCAAGCGATGGTTTGTTTTGAATGAAAAGACTGGAAAGGTTTGTAAAATTACACCCCAAGCCCATGATAAATCCAAGCTTATATAATTGCAATGGATTATGGTGTCTAGATATCAGATGAGTGTGTTTATATGATGCATCAAATACTCAACATATGTTGGATAAATTTGTATAGTGTTTGATATGAATGATATTTAAAGACATGGATCATTTGAGTTTATATTTATATCAGTTTGGTACATTGTCAAGTAAATGGAGTTCGTAATAGAAGGCCAAGGAGGAATCAGCTCTGTTTGTCAATCACCAAACCAGTCTGCATCCATTTCAAATAAATGTAGAACAAAATCCATATAAGTACTAAGGAGATAGAAGGGCCTTTCTTTGTCACCTTACGAGTTATGCCTCATCTCAGTCCAGAAAAGAAAAAGAGTTGTCCTTTGTTGGAGAGTCTTGATCTCAATCAGAAGTTGTTCTATGCCTGCAAAATTTCTGTTCTCTTCCAAGCCATCAGTACCAAAATATCTCTTTATCACTAACTTTCTATGGCATCCAGTATATTGCCAATTGAAGTGGTGGCACCCAACCAACCATCAGGCAGAGACACATAACCTAAAAACTCCAAAAATGCATAAGAAATTGAGCCATACATTTCCTATTATCTTTCACATTCTACAACCATTAACAAGAAACCTGCCTCCTTTTGGGGAACAAAGAAAGAAAACACATCAAGGCTTGGTGGCTAAAATAACCACTTTCTTTATCTGGCTACTCTTTTGCTTAAGTTTTTCTACTTAAAATTCCACTATTTGTTTTTTGATTATTATCAGAGAGGAAAGCCTTCATGTATAGTTTTATGTATGTTCCAATCCCTTTTGTTTGAGTCCTTATAAGATAGTGTCTTACTGCCAGACAAGAAGTCTTATAAAGTATGGAGTAGCACGTGCTAGCTCGCAGATTATATACATGTCCCAAGATGTCGGAATTGAGTCATTTGTTTGCTTTCTCTTTATTTTACTTCAGAATACTGGATTGTAAATGTGTTACTGTTGTTATTGCTACTCCTTTCGCTCTTGCAAATTGATATCCGGATTTAATTTGGCTCTTTCTTTATTTCACAGCTTGGCTACACCAAAAAGCAAGAGGAGAGACACTTTCGTGGTGTCATCACTTTGGAGGTATGAGAACCCCTCCAATGCCTCACCTCTTCAAATTTAAGATAATTAGTTATCTTAATCAACCAATTTTAATCCTTTTGTAGCATTTTACATTGTATTGCCATCAGTTGTGGTTGCCTAGGAGTTATTTGGAAGTAATATTTAGTTTCCCAATGAATAGAAGTAGGATATGCTTCGATCCTGAGTTCTTTTCTTTTGAATGTTTTTTCCCTGAGGTTTTCAGAAACATTTCACTTGATTTCTTGACTTGGTGGGCTTGATTGATTATGAATTTTGGGTCGAAGGTGCTAACTGTGCCTACTGGTTTAACTAGGCTTGACATTAGTATATGCATACTGTTTGATCTTTATGGAATCAAGGTAATCCCTTGATAGCATAATAGATATTTGTAATTGTGAAGTTGTTTACACAGAACTAAATTCATATTGGTGTTAAAAATATGACCAGCATTTCAGATAGTAAAGAAAATTTTGTTATCTCTTTAGTCTTCTCATCCTGTGATCGAGAATGGTGTGACGACCTATCTGTTTAGTTATCTTGGTGCATGCACAAAGCATTATTTTGAACATGTGAACTCAACATGTATACTGTTAAGAGCGGTCAGGGCTTACACCATTCATTATGAAGCTGAATGCCAGTGGCAATAGTGACCAAACTCTTTATTATTCTGCAGGAATGTAATATTGAAGAGGCTTCTGATGAGGAAGAACCACCTCCATCAAAGAGTTCGAAGGACAAGAAGGGAAATGCGTCAGAAAAAGCACCCAGTCTTGTGTTTAAAATTACTAGCAAAGTTCCATATAAGACAGTTCTGAAAGGTATATCCTTTTCTTTGGTGGTTGAAGTTGTCTGGCAGCAGATTCAGCCAGTCTGAAATGCAAGTTCATTATCAACTTGATTTTCATTTTTCTTGCAGCGCACAGCGCTGTTGTGTTGAAGGCTGAGACCGTGGCAGACAAGATTGAGTGGATAAATAAGATTGGAAAGGTTATTCAACCTTCTAAAGGACCACTGAGGGGTGCAACAACTGAAGGTGGTCCTACCATGCGACAAAGTCTTTCTGACGGTTCTCTTGTGAGTTACTGACTTCTGTCACTCATACAATTATGATAAAATGAATGGATGACTGTATGTGAATGTCATTGTGGAATTCTGTTTTTCTTATTTTGGTACCTTCACTATCGCTATCTATTTCTTTGTAGTCGTAATTCCCTGTGTCAATGGTCTACTATAATATTGTGAACCTGTAGCCTTAATTTTATTTGTTTATTTTTTATATTCAAAGTTCTGACTTCTCATGTCGATCTCTTTTTAGGATACTATGACTCGAAGACCTGCTGACCCTGAAGAAGAACTTCGGTGGATGTCTCAAGAAGTTCGTGGATATGTTGAAGCTGTTTTGAATAGTTTGGCTGCAAATGTCCCTAAGGTAAGCTTGGAACATCATCTTTGTATTTTTTTTTCCTTGTGATTGGACATTTGGAGGGTACTTTAATATATTTGTGATTGGTTGAGCAGGCAGTTGTTCTTTGCCAAGTTGAAAAAGCCAAGGAAGACATGCTAAATCAACTATATAGTTCTGTCAGGTTAATTTGATATTTTCTTTTCTGCTTTTTATCTACCTTTTAGTTTGGACTTGCTAAATCGGCTGCCTTTCATATGTTATATGTGGTTGATGATAGTTGTGATAAATTAGTAATATATGTGCAGTGCACAAAACACAGTGAAGATTGAAGAGCTGCTTCAAGAGGATCAGAATGTAAAGCGTCGGAGGGAGCGCTACCAGAAACAGTCCTCACTACTTTCCAAACTAACACGCCAACTTAGTATTCATGACAACCGAGCGGCTGCTGCCTCCAGCTGGTCCAATGGTGGTGGTGGTGCACCAGGTATGTAGTTAAGGGCTGTTCTCAAATTATTTTGCTTTGCTTATAAATTTATATGATATCCTGGAGTGAATGAATAAATAAATAATAGAAAGTGCTTATCATTTATAACGTAGTCCTATCTTTCTTTCGGAATTTGTAGATTCACTTTCTTTTACTTGTCACCTGGACAGACCTCAAATGTTTTTAGTCCACTGAATTTCTATGTAAATGCTTCTTTCTTTTTCTAACAGACTCTTAGATTCTTTGAAACCCTTAATTCTGATCAAGACTCTACCTTTTCGCTTTTGAATTTTATTTGCTTAGTAATTTATGGACATTGTATGTTAAATTTGCAGAAAGCAGCCCAAGATCAAGTGGTGCAACAGGTGATGACTGGAGATCTGCCTTTGATGCTGCCGCCAATGGTCCAGTTGACCGTAATTCATCTATATCTAGGTCTTCATCCAATGGCCATAGTCGACATTATAGTGATCCAGCACAAAATGGTGATGTGAACTCAGGTTCAAACTCTGGTAGCCGTCGCACTCCTAATCGGTTGCCACCTGCACCACCAGGTTCTTCAGGCAGCAGATACTTTTAGATGCGCGTCTAGATTGATTAATTGATGATTTATATTTTCCTTGCATTCTTGGTGGGTGAGGCTGCTCCGCCCTACTACATGATTTTTCTAGTAGAATCCTTAGACGAGGAGAGAGGGTGTGTGTACATAGAAGATTACATTCCTATCAGGTTCTTACGGCTTGCCCCAGTGTCACAAGGATGGATTCAAGGCATACTTGAAACACTATCATATATTCCTCTATTCAATTTTTCTTTCCGCGCGTAGAATTTTACCTTTCTTTTCATTACCTTTCCTTTTTTATTTTCCTCCACCCATTTTTGGATACTATAGCTGTATTTGCCTGTCATGATTTTGATTTGATATGTACGTTCAAGCTTTGATGGCTTTGTAACATCTGGATTCTCCTCTGTAGAGGGATGGATATATTATATCTCTCTCAATGTCATATATTTTGTTTTCCAGTATTGAACCAACCCTCTTCATTTTTTAGTTGCGGCAGATGGTTACTTGTGCAACAATCTGCAATATTCAAATTTATGATATTTCTTGTAATGAATTTTTCATTTCTCAAAGATTAGAAGAGGCTGATAGAACTGTTAAGTCTTTGATTTCGGTTTTCGTGTTGCAATCCTGTGTAAATTGTGGAAGGCACAAAAAAGCCAATATGATATTAGAAGCTTAATTTTTGTCCACGTTATATAGGTGAATGCAACAATAATTTACCAAAGCGTTAGGTTGTTGGTGTCATTTATCAGATTTGAATTGATTGATATTTTTTGGTTTTTTGGTTCCTGGTCGGAATGGGTATTCTTTAAGAATGATGATTATTAAAAACAAAAAATTGAAAGAAAATAAGGATAACAGACTAAGGTAGCTCTGTAATTATATCCTCTGAGAAATGTCTCTTAAGGTAGCTTTTCCCCCATTGGGATAAATAAAAGAAGTCCCATCTGAAAGCTTCTATTCAACCTGATTCTCAATGTGAATGTTCAACCTCCTGAGCCAAATAGAGTGAACAATCATATTGAAAACATCAAATCTCTTGGAGGGTCCGTTTACCACAAAATGCCTTTGAACCTGTTTCACTCTCCTGTGCATTCTCAAATACTGACTCTGAGATATTCCCATTAGTATTGTTTTGATGTTTGGTATGTCTTTCACTTGTATTTGGACAGAGAATGACTTCCAATCAAGAACATCACTGAATGGTGGAACATAGCTATCAGATATCAACACAGGAATGCATTCAGCATATATGGCTTCCACAACTCTGGGGCTTGCCACTTCATAACCGCTAGGGCATAAGCAAAACCTGCTCTTCTTCAACATCGATTCGTAGCACACTCCGTGGGGAAGTTGGTCGTAAACTTGCACGTCTTGGTCTTTCTCTTTCCATTCATTTAGAAGCAAGTACCTTATGTGGCCATGTAGCCGGCCTGCGAAGAAGGCAAGAATCGACCTGCGAGATGGGGAGAGCCCACCAACAAGTCCTTTGATTTCCCCCAGTTCGGAGATGGATTTCTGGAAATGAGGCATCTTTAGAAGGATTGAATCCTTCGGAAGTGTTGGCGTTGCATAACACTCTTATGGACTTGTGGTACAAATGAGGAACATAAGAAGATGTGCGCGGCCCCTGTAGACAGACAAATTCAGTTCACAACATAAATTTGGTACCACTATTGTAAGCCTCATGCAACCAAGTCACCATATAAATATAATGGAGTATATTGTATAAACAGAGAAAACAAAAATGAAAAGGAGAGGCAAAGGTTAGGGGCAGAAGGTGATACGATTTCTTACCCAATCATGGCAAGAAAGCATAAAGTGATCAGCGCCAAGGCTTCTATTCCAGAAGGGATGCTTATCGGCAATGACATTGACATAGTCGATGACAGCCCGTCCAATGGAGTCTGTGTTATGGGAGTCGGCCGCATAGAGGTACTGAACCAACATCACCACACTAAATGGGAGAAAATAAACCAGGGCCTCATCAGGGTCTCTGGTTCTGTAAATGTTATTGTCCATTTCCATTTCATGAATAAACCTCCCTTCTGTAGAATATATGCTCTTGCAAGGACCATTGTGAAATATTGGTGGGTCTCCTTCTTCATATACATATATCTTGAAAAGCCTCTCCATCTCCAAATAACTCCTGCAGTTCAATCAATTTAATTTTTCTCTGATTTATAAAGAATCATTATCCAAGTCGTAAAAACTATTTGTACTAATACTTAGGATTGTAATTAAAATACCTGTGAAAAGCATTTGCATTCCTGTATATTGGTCCTTTAGGAACATAGTCGGGATCTTCATGGGTAGAGGTTAGATTTCGAACTCGAGCAGCTTCTCTTATCGAAGCCCGAACTCCAGCCAAATTTGCTTCAAGTTTCTCTAATCTGCTATATCTCTTTATAGTTACTGTAGATGCAGAAGTCACATTAACTTCATCAGCTCCTAGGCCTTGATCATTCCATACCATCTCTTGTTTTTCTCCCTGTGGTTATGCAACACCAATAGAACAATGAGCTACTTTGTCAACTTGAAGAAACACATTAATGATACATATAGTTAAAATGTTCATGCATGAAAAAAATGAAAGAAAAATCTTAATTACAATTTGATGAGGGAGAAGATGAGTTGTTGTTTCATTTGTTTTTGACAATGATGAAGAATTAATATGATGAGCTTCTGCAGCTTCAAGCACTTGAGAAGGTCTTGATCTTGTAGAGACAGCTAGGGATGAAGAATAGTCAATCTCCAATATGTTGCTGCCAAATGTCCATGTCCATGAAGACGAACCCGAAGTGCAAACAAGCACTGATATCACAAAAAAGGGTACTACAAACACGAAAATTAAAACTGAATAATATGAAGAAGATGACCACAAGGCTGAAAACAAAGAATATGGCTTATTGAGAGGCCTCATCTCTCTCTCTCTCTCTCACTCTCTGGTCATCCACAAATCACAATTACACTATATGTGCATGCAGTACTAGAGTACTGAATGAGCTTATTGTGCTATTGATGGATTCATTACTTAAACTGCTGGTTATTCCTTGCCGCTCATAAAAGTCATTCTTTGAGAGAGGGTTATCTGTGTGTGTGTTTCTGGCCATGAGATGCTTCCTTGCTGCTTGATCCAAGTTTGGCTCTCTTTCCAAAAGTTACACAACTTTAATATTCGCATTATTTTCATTCATTTTTTTCTTTCTTTCCAATTACTACTACTCACAATCACTGATGCAGGGATCCTAACCTAACCAACAAATTAGTAATTAGAAAGAACAGAATTCAAGGGTCTAATAAATTTGCAAAAATGTTCTTCCCAAAAAAGAAAAAAAAATAGTATGGGGGATTATAATATTATGATATAGAGCGTGTTTATTATGCTTGCAGATAACAAGGCTCTCTAACTTCCAAGTATCAATTCCCAGTAATCAATCTGGTGACTAATTAAACTAATGCAGTGCCCAACTAATAAAATATCTCAATCCTGACTCAGGTATCAGACAGTGCTAGTTTAACCCAATGAGATAGCTGTTAGCATTTTATAATGAATATAGTAGCAGGGTGTAGGAAACATAGGAGGGATAAAAGAACAGTTTCAAGTACAAATAGAAACTTAAGAGCCCTTTCTTTGATACGAAATAATATTTGATTATATGCACCTAAATTCAAAAATGGAACCTACTTCATTACCAAGTCATCTTGGGATGCCCTCAAAGTCCGACTTTCTGTCCGTCACCGTCACTGTCACGTGCACTAACTTTGATTTTGCAAACATTTTAGAGAATCCGAAAAATGTATTGTCCTACCAGCTAGGAAAGTTGATTTTTTCCCTTTCACTTCATCTTAATAATTATTTATATTTTCTACGAGCGCACAGCCGTTAGTTTGGCAAGGAGGAAAATTTCCACTACACACACTCTGGTCGGGAAGAGGTTTTAAGGTGATGATTTGAATTTAGAGTGTCTGATTATACTTCTCGCCTCATGCTCATTCTTTTACCACATTAGACATATCTTGCGATTTGCACAACTCGGAGTTTTGAGGTGCTCTATAGTTAAATTTTGAGGTTTACAAATGTACAATTCCAATGGTTTTACTCTTGCCACCTATGAATTGTCCCCATATTTGCTAGCCTAGACAAAAAAAACAAAGAAAGGGCTAGCTACCACTCCAAAGTCTCTCCTGTTTCTTTATCAATCATGAGAGTCTCGTTTCTGAGTGAGGTAGTATTATTATCATTAGTAATTATAACACGCACCTTAAAAGATTTTAAATCATGAATTAATGTTGACCATTTTGTTATCATCTCTGTAAAACTAATTGTGCAAGTGTTTTCCGTTTGGAGGGTACCATCTTCCATATAGAGACACAATCTACTTAAAAGTCAAGAACCCCTTTTGAATTTTAGGACAAACAAAAAAAGTGCAGACCAAGAAAAACGTTCCTACCTCTCTATTTGTTGTTCGTATTTTAAATGGAAAGGGTCGGTTGTTGATTTTGGACGACAATTCATACAATATGTAAGTTGTGTTTCAATGCCCAGTATTGGATCCAAATGGAAATTTTTTTTTGGTTGCCAAAGACCAAAGAAAGGGGGAAGAGGGTTTTCTCGCACATTATCAAAGTGCAATGAAGTCACATGTGCAATGGAGTTGAACTTAAGATCACAGGTCTACAAGACCATTTTCCAAGGAGCTAAACCTCGTTGGATGTTATAAAAAATAAGTAAAACCATTCCCCACAAGAAAGCTAGAAAGCTCCAAGATATGTTTACCGTTTATAATTATTATTAAGGGAACGGAGAAAGGAAAAAAAAGGGTTTTTGCAATGATTATAATGATGATATAAATAGGACAAGGATACAGCTCACAAGTAAAAAGAGCCAGGAAGAGCTCAACCGACAAAATTTCCTGGACTGGTCTGTTCTATGAACACTAAATGCCATATAAACACTAACCGCCATATCTATGAAAAGCTTCACAAGAGCTAACAATGAAAAAATTAAACATACAAGAAATATTATGATACCCTTATTATCTACAGATTGTTGCTTCTCCCTCACCTTTTCAACCTCAGATCTGCAAAGCAATAACAATCGTATTAGAATACACGCACCTATATGAACTGTTCACCTAGCAGAAACACGTAGATGAATTCAGGCTAGATACATCGAGGTGAGCATTAAACCATTGTTTACTTTTTTCGGTTGCTTCAGCTTACATATATTTGATGAAAACGATGACGGAAAACATGCATAAGGTTGCCTTATCTTTAAATTAACTTGCTTAAAAATTAATCCCTGTATATATAACTACCCTTTACGAGCTCATATAATATATTTATTATATTTGAAACTAAAACAAATTTGAGGGAAAAGTTCAAGAAATATACAGAATTTGAAACACTTCAGTTTTCTTAAGTTCCTTTTCTTTCTTTATTTGCTGTAAAGAGGAGCTAATAAGATTGCGTGCACTAAATAGGTACTCCCCAGAAAAACATAACTTGTCAACTCAACATCGCATCAATGTAGAAAATAAATTTCAATACATATAAACTGGAGAAGTCTTAAACAAAAGATCAAACCCTGACCTGAGGATAGCATTGTCCCTGACTAAATTACCCAACTGCATGGAGACTAGGGACTGCCAAGATAATAGGTTGCGAACATCTTTAGCCTACAAGGACAAGAAAACCATTTAAAAATAGTATTAACGCATAATACCGCCAATAATGAAAAGGCAATACCAATATTTCCAAGAATAATGACAAAGCTAATAATAGTCAAAATTCTATGAGATGAGAGTTTTACATACAATGATTTCCTGGCTTTCAAGGAGATTCCTTATGTCTTCTCTGATCTTCTGTACATCTAAATCCTTTTCTCCCAAATCTTTGTCGAATTCTCTGAAAATACTGCCATATCTTGAATTAGATTCCTCCAGGTATCGCTCCAGAACTGATAAACTAAATCCAAGGAACGAACTTTCTGCATTAGTATTTTAAGAACGGTGTCCCCAGGCATCCTGTTAACTTGTAGATGGCGAGCCTCTTTGATGGGATCAGGCACCTCACTTTTCATTATTTCATTGTTCAAGTCAGAGTTTCCAACTGCATATTCAGGTTCCAATTCTTTAACAATATTATGATAAAATTCATCAACCTCAGGGGAGTCTGGGTTGGAGGACGTAGGTTTCTGGTCGACAGTTGCTCCCTCAGACACAAACGGACTGCTTTCAACAGAAATCAAATCCTCAAGCATTCGCTCAACAGCATCCACTCCATAAATTTCAATAACACTGAGTGTGCAATAGAATTCTGAACCGTGATGGCTCAAAAGATTCAACTTTATATATCTCACCCACTTGGGTTCCTGAAAATCAAACCTTTGTGCAAGCTTATTATTTGCAGCAGTGAAATTCCCAAGTAGAACCCATTCATCTGTTGGATAGACCAAACTGCCAAGCAGCTCAAAAGCCTTTAAATTAGAAGAATAGTGCTCATGATTAGCTATTTGAATTGTATCTACTAACGTTTCTTCTGAAAGCTCTATATCGACAAATTTTCCTTCTGCAGAACATGGATTGCGAAGGTACTTGTCCTTATCCCTGCCTAAGATATTAGAGGCACCCTTAGCTTCCTTGTTAAAAGCCAAGACCTTGGCTCCCTTCGCAGCTGAAGCATAATTGTATTCAGCACCACCAGGCTCCACTCTGTGTTTATGCCTCCAGCCTCACCATTTCCAGATTTAGTTTTGGAATTAATGTTTTTGCTCTTGAACTCATCAAGACCAAGTGGCACAGCACGAGGTACGCGGCCATTCTTTGGACCATCATTTTCAAGTTTCACACCTGAACCAGAGCTCTCCACTTCAGGTTGCTCACTAACAGCTGAGTCAAAAATATATCTCCTTCAGCTGAGGCACAATGTCTACTTCCTTCATAGCAAATAATTCACCATTTAAAACCACTGGTTTCAACACCATTTGCACACCCACCTCCAGAATAGTAGACCAAATCAGTTTCTTTTTGTATATCTACAGAATCAGAGTGTTCATCCTGGTCCAGCTTAGCTTTGTCCCAAGTTGATATACCAACTGGAGATACAGTGGATCCATCTAACAGAAAGAAGAGACAAAATAGCTCATAACAAGCAGCATGCATGAGTAAATCTACAAAATCACACTAAAAGTGAAAAAAGATAAAGAAAAGAAGAAACAAGATGAATGTAAAAAGAGAAATAATGAGAGTGTTTCATCAAAGAATTCACTTGTTTGCAAGGGTAGATACACAGTCAACTTATCAAGAGATTTTCAGCTGAAATTTCGCTCAGGATAACACTGCAAACATCTTATCTCAGGGAAGTTTCATGAAATTGCAGAAACCTCCAGACAATTTCCTTGCTTGGGCACGAATTTTGGCCTTGCACTGAAAATACTGAAAATACTTCAGGTGCTTCTCTACTAAGCACCCCTATTGTGCCCTTACACAAGAGTTGACTGCCTCTTGGGTTTCCTAATTTTTAAAGCCTTAAGCTCTTTCCCTTTTTTTTTCAACCAATGTCAGATGGTAAATAAAAGGTTGAAATGTCCAGTTTCCAAACCTCCCCGGCCAACTAAACAGCCCTCAATAATATAACCCTGCAATGATTTCGGTCTTCAACAGTTAGGAAGCCAATCAATTTTCCCAGTCTTTAAAATTTCCCAAAGCCCAACCATCAGTACCAGCAGCCCTATCATCAGCAGCGTTAGTTGTCCAGCATCAATTTTCCCGTTGTGATTCTACCCAAGTACCATGCCAATGCACCATCTCTTCGTGATTCTTTTTCGTTGAGTAAAAGTGTATCAATGTTGAGATGTACACATGTACAAAGAGCTTCCCTACAACTAATGTCCGAATGTACAAAAGGGAAGAGCTTTGCTCTAAATGAAGTTGAGGTAATCATATCTGCAGCCACATGCAATGGTAGTGAAGTATGAATACCATTTTATCTTATTTTGTTTTTATGAGAGTGATATGAATATTTGATTGAGTGTATGAGGCTATACAAACTAAAAACTAGATGGTTAACTAAATCCTTACTTGGTTTGTTTAGTAGTCAGCAGAGAGTATTATATATTTTGGGATTAATTATTATGCTTTCTAGAGATTTATTTATCGAAAATATTGTACATTTTTAATTGTAAACTTTGAGTGCCAAATGGCTTACATGTCAACACCTCGAGGCTTATGCCTTGCCTTGTGAGTAATAAAGTGCCGCCCCCCCCTCCCTCCCTTATGCCTGTACCTTTGAAAACTTTATCCTAAATCATATAAACCTCCTAGCACCTATACTAAACCCCATTGGGCAAGTCAAATAGTAGTAGTTGACTTAACATCTCCTGAAGTGTCATTCATAGTTGCTCTTTTTCTCCTAATTTCGCCGCTTCCCCAAAATTTTACTGTACTACTTTCTGTGTTTTAAGATTCGGTTGGATATTTCTAACTTGTTTTCAGGTTATGAAATTTCATATTGTTTTTCGTTTCGGCAATATAGATATGGAAGCAGAGAGGTTTTAGGTACAGATAACACAAATACATACCTCAATAACTCTTCTATAATTATATCTAGTTCAATCTGTGCTGCGGGACAACCATATAAAAAAAAAAAAAAAAAAAAAAAAAAAAAAAAAAAAAAAAAAAAAAAAAAAAAAAAAAAAAAAAAAAAAAAAAAAAAAAAAAAAAAAAAAAAAAAAAAAAAAAAAAAAAAAAAAAAAAAAAAAAAAAAAAAAAAAAAAAAAAAAAAAAAAAAAAAAAAAAAAAAAAAAAAAAAAAAAAAAAAAAAAAAAAAAAAAAAAAAAAAAAAAAAAAAAAAAAAAAAAAAAAAAAAAAAAAAAAAAAAAAAAAAAAAAAAAAAAAAAAAAAAAAAAAAAAAAAAAAAAAAAAAAAAAAAAAAAAAAAAAAAAAAAAAAAAAAAAAAAAAAAAAAAAAAAAAAAAAAAAAAAAAAAAAAAAAAAAAAAAAAAAAAAAAAAAAAAAAAAAAAAAAAAAGATCCAGGATAATCATATCGACGTAGCCGACCAAACTCAGGCTCGTGTGCGTCCACGCACAACTACGGGAGGGCGAAGGGACGGGGCCGGATCCCGGCCTAAGATTGTAGAGCACCGGAGCGGCCGTAGGGAAAAGCCAAGGACCGTGGGCGCCCGGCGCAGCGGAAGCATAAGGGAGGCAGCACCACCAGCGCCAGCGGGGGGGTAGGGCCGCCACCAGCCCAGGGCCAGAGGGAGGGGGGGAAGGGAAAGGTGGGCGCGAACGCAGCAGACCAAGTGGGCACAGCCGAATGTACGCGGCCAGAAGTCTATTGACCATCAGGGTCCAGATTTCACAACCTGAACCAGAGCTCTCCACTTCAGGTTGCTCACGAACAGCTGAGGCCAAAAAATATATCTCCTTCAGCGAGCCCAATGTCTACTTTCCTTCACGAGCAAATATTCCCCTTTACACCACTGGTTTCAACCCCAAGTTTGCACACACACCTCCAGAATAGTAACCAAATCAGTTTTCTTTTTGTATATCTCCAGATCAGTGTTCATTCCTGGATCCAGCTAAGCTTTGTCCCAAGTTATATACCAAACTGGAGATACAGTGATCCATCTACAGAAAAGAAGAGACAAAATACTCATAACAGCAGCATGCGCTGAGTAAATATCTAAAATCCACTAACAAGTGAAAAAAAGGATAAAAGAAAGAAAAACCAGATGAATGTAACAAGAGAAATTAATAAGTGTTCCTCACAAGAATTCACATTGGTTTGCCAGGGTAATACACAGTCAACTTATCAATAGGATTGTCAGATGAAATTTCGCCATGATCACCGCAACCATCTTATCCTCAGGGAATGTCATTGAAATTTGCAGAAACCTTCCAGACAATTTCCTTGCTTGGGCACGAATTTTGGCCTTGCACTGAAAATACTGAAATATTCAGGTGCTTTCTACTAAGCACCCCTATTTGCCCTTACACAAGAGTTGACTGCCTCTTGGGTTTCCTATTTTTAAAGCTTAAGCTCTTTCCCTTTTTTGTTTTCAACCAATGTCAGATGGTAAATAAAAGGTTGAAATGTCCAGTTTCCAAACCTCCCCGGCCAACTAAACAGCCCTCAATAAATAACCTGCAATGATTTCGGTCTTCAACAGTTAGGAAGCCACTCAATTTTCCCAGTCTTTAAAATTTCCCAAAGCCCCATCCATCAGTACCAGCAGCCCTATCATCAGCAGCGTTAGTTGTCCAGCCTCAATTTTCCCGTTTGTGCTTTCACCCAAGTACCATGCCAATGCACCATCTCTTCGTGATTCTTTTTCGTTGAGTAAAAAGTGTATCAATGTTGAGATGTACACATGTACAAAGAGCTTCCCTACAACTAATGTCCGAATGTACAAAGGGAAGAGCTTTGCTCTAAATGAAGTTGAGGTAATCATATCGCAGCCACATGGCAATGGTAGTGAAGTATGAATACCATTTATCTTATTTTTGTTTTTATGAGAGTGATATAATATTTGATTGAGTGTATGAGGCTATACAAACTAAAAACTAGATGGTTAACTAAATCTTACTTGGTTTGTTTAGTAGTCAGCAGAGAGTATTATATATTTTGGGATTAATTATTATGCTTTCTAGAGATTATATTTATCGAAAATATTGTACATTTTTAATTGTAAACTTTGAGTGCCAAATGGCTTACATGTCAACACCTCGAGGCTTATGCCTTGCCTTGTGAGTATAAAAGTGCCGCCCCCCCCTCCCTCCCTTATGCCTGTACCTTTGAAAACTTTATCCTAAATATATAAACCTCCTATGCACCTATACTAAACCCCATTGGGCAAGTCAAAATAGTAGATAGTTGATTAACATCTCCTGAAGTGTCATTCATAGATTGCTCATTTTTCTCCTAATTTCTGCGCTTCCCCAAAAATTTTACTGATATCTACATTTCTGTGTTTTCAGATCGTTGATATTTCTAACTTGTTTCAGGTTATGATCTGCAATTTCATTATTTTTCTTTCGGCAATTAGCTATGGAGCAGAGAGGTTTTAGGTACAGATACCACAAATACATACCTCAATAACTCTTCTATAATTATATCTAGTTCAATCTGTGCTGCTGTACAACTATAATACAATAGTTTTCAGTGGCTTATTAAAAATTTCCCCAACCTGGTTTTGATTACAAGTCTACGCAAATAGAAAAATATTTCATCTTTGGATCCTCCCAATTATAACCCAGCATGAATTTCAAATTATTTAGTATATTAAATCGCTCAGCGCACCACATCCAGGATCATAGTTAACTAACTGAGTCACTGAAGCAGAAATGTAGCAAATATACCCATAACATATAAATCACAACGCTAAATTGGTGAGTCAATCAAAAGAAAAAGGAAAATAGATTAATATATGCAATGTAACGGCCGAGCTGATATTTCAGGTAAACAAGAATAAGTAGAGACCACTGATTCTAAGCTAAACTCAGCATCAGAAGCAGTTTTGCAACCAAACAAAAAAGGGTGATCATATTCCTGCAGAAGCTTAGTGCTTTAGATATTATTTCAGAAATTCACAACCAGTTCATGAAGGAAGCCAACAGAAGAGAATTATATTGAGTAGAGAGGTTCCCTCTTATCCATCTCCACGATGAACCATAAGCTGAAAAGAAAGACAAGCCCCCACAAGACAAAAACTAAAGACGAGACACCTTATACAAGCGGCTCCTTCCACCGAACCCCAAAGCTCTTCTTGCAGAAGAGCTCTACGTGACCTTTGCATTGCACATCAATCCAATCCACTGTGAGCGCTGAAAAAACATAGACTTGAGTTGAGTTCCACTCTAAAAATATAAGAAAATGAAATTACATACATTTCACAGCCAAGATTGTTGTAAATGGATTAAAATCCAAGTCAATGAATCAATCAGATACAATATATATATATATAATATACAAACATGTATAGTTGCAGATTCAGCTACATGCAACTACATTTTCAAGCAGATGGTGAAATGAGTTATCTTAATGGAAAAAAAATAAAATGAAGGGTTTAGATTGCAAGCTATACAATTCAGAGAAAACTTATGGGTGAATACCAAAACCGAATTATCTAGTAGCTGTACAAATTGATGAGAAAAAAAAGAAGAAGAAAGATTGAGTAGACACCCATTTCAGTAAATTGAATGGGAATTCTCCACCAAAAGAACCAAATTCACCTTAGCAGCCAAGCAAAACAACCTTTTGATCTTCTTTAAAGACACACTCTTTTCACCAAAACTGGATGGCGAAATGAGTAAAACAAACAAGCCCATGAACTAAATTAAAATAGAAGATGAAGCAACCCTTCTGCCAGCCTGGTTCTGTCTCTAAAATTAAAAAAAAAGATCTTATTTTTATTAGAAAAGAAAAGCAAAAAACTACAATTATATAAATGTATGCGATCTTAGTCTAAGGGGATAGACAACAATTCCCGCTTCAATTGGGTAACCAAAGATGAGATCCAATTCAAATTAATTCAAAAAAATTCTACAATAAAAAAACCCAAAGAAAAGCAAAATGGTCAAAAGAAACAAAGAATAAGAATCACTGCCGACCTTGCAGGTTGGTGAATCAGTCGGTATCGTATTGAAACGATCAACAAATAAGAACAAAACAAAATCGGCAAAGCGGGGAAATTTTCGAGATTAGCGAAAGCAAATCAGAAATGCGAAAGTCATCGTAGAAGAGCGAAAACAGAGCGTCAATACGGCGTAGTTTAGGAGATCCGCGTTGCCTTGAGCGTCAAACGTCTTCCCCTTTTTATATTCTTCTCTCATCATCGTCTCACTGCCTGTTGCTTCTTTTGTAACGTTTTGCCCGGTTTTGATTTTCCGCTTTGATTTGCGGTAGTGCTTTCGATCAGATATATTATTTATTTATTTTTTTTATTTTTTTGAAATTCAAACATTTTTTGAAATTTTTTTACCCTTGGCCTTTTTCTAAATTGCAAGAATGACAATCTTGGGGTTATCTGTAAAAAGCATGTTTGGATGGTGGATTGAGGCTTTTGGTATGTCAGTTGGAACCGTAGAAAAACTCCCCCGGCCAATAATGCTCTTTTTATATGAAGTTTATCACGTGTGTCATAATTTTTGACCAGAATAACAAAATAATGTTATTCTCCGTTTCATAAAAGTCTTTCTACTAGAATTGTTGGAGAAGAAAGGAAGGTTTGTCGCTTTGCCCAAACAACACCCTATTTTTGGGGATTGTAAACAGAGACCGGCCATCAAGGAATTTTCAGAACTAGATGAGGAAATCTAGATTTGTATTGTAACCTCATAAAAATAAAATAAAAAAAAAGAAACACCCTAACAACAAGCATAGAAATGAACAAAAAGAAGAGAGGGATTGTTGGCACCTCTTTTGTCAAAGCAGCTTTTTACCTTGTGCACACGGCATACGATCACTTCTGTCCAGTAAGAAAAAGATTTCAACTTTCTCAATTCCCAACATGGACGGATATACTGGGTCTTTATAAAAAACCTCAAAGGTCAAAAGGGAAAGGCAACTAAACCCCTACTACAAGTAGAAATTCTAGATTTTTTTTTCTTTTTTTTTTTTGTGTATCACAATAGCCAAAAAAATCGAAATAATTTGAACCCTTAAATAATAAATAAAAAATTAAAAATCTTCCATGCTAGACAGATGCTTGGAATTCGTGCTTGATGAATTGTAGATATTGCATTCCTTATGGAAAATTACTATGTTTTTTTTAAGATGGGATTAATTTTAAAAAGCTTTTGCACGTATGTTGGTCTGAGTGGAGACCAGGAGCGAATGAAAATGTCTTGTCTTTGTCAGTGGAGTGAGCTGGAATCGCATGCATATCATTGCCAACATCTAGTTTAGTACTTGGCCATGCCAGTATGTGTATCATATAACACGTATGCATTGACAAATAGCCACCTGTTAAACCTGCCTTCCCTCTTAAGTCTACATACTACCGACGTGTTCCAGCGGGCCCAGCACGATATCTTTGCTCCCCACATATCACCAATTGGTTTGGTGATCATTTTTTTAACAACATAAAAACAAAACATCCGCATTTGCATTCTTAATTATTATGAGTTTGATTAATGTAATTTCGCCTCACTCTCACTCTCAAAACTAAATACGCTACTCCCGACTAACTACCGACATGTCCAGCGGCCAAAGCTCTTCTCTTCCCATGGACTATAGTTTTTTATGAGATAAAGACAATACATTGTTTATAGTCGAGACAAACCGAGTCAATACTAAAACACATAGCCACAGAAAGGTTATTTTCAAATATGGATCGCAATAATGGAATTTTTTTAACGTACTAAGATTTTGAACCCCAAAAAAATGGGATAGCATAATCTTTCCATTATTAAATTATCGAAGAGTCGATTTAATGTATTTTTATTATAATCACAAAAAATAATTACTGGATTTTTTATATATAAAATGGGTCATGAAACTTATCTCAAAATATATTTTGATCATTTATTAAATTATTCACTTAATTCGACTTGAACTCTCTATTTC